ATTCCTACATAAATGCATGTCAATTGAAATGTACCTTTCAATTAAATTACATAAATTATTCATTTGGACGAATAATATCCTTGGACAATTTCTTTGTATTCTTTCTTCCTCTCATCCCAACGTTGAAATAAATTTAGTAGTTTTAAATGCTTCAGACTCGCACAAAAACACAAATAACAAAATAATGATAGAAGCTTCTTAAAACCAATGTATAATTCAATGGCAGTACAACCTTCAAGTTCGGCCCTCCTGTCTAATGTAATAAAAAATAAATATTTTTTTTAAAACATAACCACAGATATATTCGTATTGAGTAATTATTAAGAAATTATTTCGGTCACAACTGAGTATTAGTAATTATTAAGGCATGTACATTGTACATTGTATCTGTATTATGATTTTAAATAATAATATGTACATTTGTACATTGTATATTATTATAGCAGACATAACCAACAATGTGATTACTTATTCATCAAACTAATCAAATGTTTTTACTCGTTCAACCTAATGAACAGTTATAGCAAACAATTTAAGTTATTAATTTTAATAATACAAAATAGAATTAAAAGCAAAATATAATATCAAAAATCAAGTCAACAAATACAATAAACTATTATTTCAAAATAATAATTGGTAGTAATTGGTTGACTGTCTATGCCCATGACACTAATCCATCACTTTATGTTCTTTGTAAATCTCTGATTGATCTTTATTTATAGTAAAATCCATATATTATCTTAAAATTGCTGATTCTTCCTAATGGACTATAAAGTCGGTTCCTGAAATAGATGGATAATGATTTTTCAACGGTGTCACCTCACTATATGTCCACCAATCGCCTCTCTTTGAGTTTTGTAGTCCTTTTCATCAACTTACATTTTAACTTGGTGGCGTCACTTTGATCTAGTTGTATAACTAATGCAAACTTGCACCTAAATTCTAGGTTATGACTAAATTCACTTTTTAATAATCTATTAAGCTCAACAGATGAATGTTGTTTTTATCTAAACCGATCTCTCATTTATTTTAAATCCCATTTTCCTGCTACTCTCTTATGGGTATACAAACAATACTATCGCTCGTTTATTATCTTTGAATATTGTTTTTCGCTGTATTACTATTAAAATCTTTGACTCTTAATAGTCTTTGGCCTATTAATTTAAAACGCCGATTAGACTTTTGGTATTTTTAAGGCTTATTGCTTGTAATTAGTATCATAACTTTTCCAATTTAATTTTGAATAAAGTGCTTAAACTTTTGCTATTATTTGCTACTATGTATTCTCTTGTGGCTTTCTTATTATCATCAAATATATCCGTGACACGAATTTCTTTCACCGTAAAGTCTCATTATAATGAATTCGATAACGTTACATTAAAAGAAAATGTAACCGTTGTACATACCACTTGTTATAGTGGTGATAAACCATATGAAAGTTAAATTAATACAAAATATTAAACATATTTTATAGTAAAGTTATATCAAATTTTTTTTTCGTGAATATTACCATTGCCACCAATATTAGTATTCGTACTTTGTTTGAGAGTCATGTAAATTATTATTTCAATATTTGATATATTAGAATAAAGATAGGAAAACGAATAAAACGGATATGAAAAAATATAGCAGCCACTCGTAAATAAACACACCTTATACGGTATAATGTATCTGTTTAGACACATAAACAGATAAAGTTCAGTGGAAAAAATGAAAACTTTATATTTTATTCCTGCCGAAAATAGTTTTATTAGTCGAAACTATTATTGTTATTGATATATAAACTTTTTTTTTTAATTTCCAGTGTTAAATTTCCAGAGTTAAATTTCCATTCAAAAGAAATATCGATTTTTACATCAGTTAGGGTTATTTAAGTTAAAACGTTTAAGTAAGTGAAATATAATTTCAACTCCCCTTAGCTCCTTATCTCAGTGAATACGACGAGAATCCGGTAATAAAGTGCACATTTTTGTATAAAAATAATTTGTTTGTAAAATTGAGGTTACCTACAAAAAGTTTTTAACACTAAAAAGTAATTTAAGGTTTAGAAAAAACTCGAGCAAAACTTGTGGTTATATATTAAGGAATAAAATAATAATATATTAAAAAATACTCTCTTCGCTACAAAAAAACGATACACTTTCGGCTTTCCAATAATACTATATACGCGTACTTTGGAAGCAATTCAATCAGCATTCACAACAGACTGCTACCAAAATACCCGTAACGTTATTATTGAAAAATGTATAATTAATTGTAGCGAAGGGTATTTTTTATTATTTCATTTCTTAATTTAGAGCTTTCATAAAATATCGATTGTGGCTTCAGGAGAAAAATAAATCATAAGGAATCTATGTATTCTGCTAATTTGTTTTATGATTTTAAATACTAATTAGTTTATTCAGTCCAAACGTGTGGTATAGACTTAATTAAGTCTAGTAAATATATAAAAATTGTGTGCGCATGAAAAATAAACACAATAAAAGTTAAAATGTAAAAAAAAAACGTTCTACGTCATAGGAAATATTGAGACTATAATATTGTCCTTCTCTTATTGTTATTTATCAATCTACAATCTGGATTATATAATACATAGTTCTATAATGGTGTTATTTGGTGGGTGGCAGAGTGAGTATTAGCTCCTTTTCTTGCCGTTTCTTTCTAGACGACTACTATTAATGTAATATGTTAGGGTAATGGGTATTGTCGAGTATCTCTCTGAGACAACCGAATACAACAAATCAATTTTAAAAAGAGGAGGTCCATGCCAGACCAATGCGGGTAGCAGTTGAATGGAACTCGAACTTATCCGGTAACTGACAACAAGTAGCAGTTGCTTAGCTCCAAATGTTTATCTACGAACGGTAAGGACAAGCACGTATGACAAAGGTTCCCGAACGCGGTTATTTATCAAGGGGCAAAATATTGACATATGCAACAATTGATAAATGCAAATCGATTTTGATAATTTCAACCGTCAGGGTAATTTTAATTGGCTTTATTGTATAATAATTATTTGCGTATTATTTATTTTCGTTCATATTTATAGCCATTTTGGCGGTAAAAAATGACTTGACAAGAAAAATAATGACGTCCACATAGACCTCCGGTTTTCAAAAATTTAATTTATTTTACGCTGTAAATTGTGATTAGTGTTTGGTTATTAGACATTTGGAAACTGAATAGAAAGTGATGTTTTGTTAGAACACTATGATTTCCTCCTACATACATATGAGGCGTCAACCCTTTTCCAGTAGGATAAGTTTTGACATAACTACATGTGAGCTCTTTAATAAAATACAAATTACATAAGCTGAAAAGTACGTCTCAGACGGGTAAACCTAGATTAAAGTTTATAAGCATTACATCTAATCAATCCGACATTTGTTTAATCGTCAGATTGTTTGATACTCGAGGATTAGGACTAAATGCGTACCGGGGTTCAAAATATAGAGTAGGCACATTAAAATAAATATCACTATTCGATACTACTGTCACGATGCCACGATCGTGGATAAAATTTTGGATTGAGCCCAGCGAAAAGACATATTCATGTCAAAATTACATACTTATAAAAACAATATTCAGCTCTGACCTCGTATATTTAATTTGGCAACAGTAAGAAAAAAATTAAAATCAACCATTCATTATACTCGAGAATGTTTGCTCTATATTTCGTGATATTACTTGGTTTTCTATTTAATACAATTGTTCATTAAATAAAAATGAAAATTTTCGGAATTTGTTATAAGGTAAAACAATATTTTAAAGTTTTTAGAATAACAAGGTTGTCGCGACTTTTTAAATTAATTAACACATAACTGTCCACTTATGGTATACTAATAGTGTACTATACATTTTAATATACATACTAAAAATGTATAAGAAAAAACAAGATAAATAAAAGGTGAAGAAATATGTATAAATAATATTTATGTTGATAGGATTGAAGTATTTAACTATGAAAACGGCTGTTTAGTGAAATTATTCAGGCACATGATTCCAATCATGAGCTTGCATTAGTATGATCAATTTCACTCGAACACCGTATTTCAATCCTATTAATGTATAATATATTTTCTTAAATCCTAATTGAGTTAATGAACTCAAGGAATGTAAATACATATTATTATAGGATTTTGTGCAATTTTAAGTTGAATAATTGTGTATAATGCTTTAAAACATTCACTTACAATAATTACCTTAAACATGTTATTACAATTAAACGAACAAACACTTATCTAGAAAAATCGTTAATAAACACAAAAAACAAACAAAAGTCACAGGGACAAGTACTTATCATCGACATGATTGTTTTGAAATAATAGTCTATGATGACAGCTAGTCAGTTCACCAAGGAGGTTTCAATAATTGAATTCATCAAAAGTAATGTAGTGCGGTAACGTCATCAGATTACTTTGAGAATAAACGGAAATTAAAAGAATATTTAAATTAGGCAAGAGCCTAACTCATCAAACTAATCATTTAAAAAAAAAATTGTTTAACCTGAAATTGTACGAAGGATAAATGCTAAATCTGTTAAAGTTGTGAGCAAATAATATATACTTCTTATTAAGATCGTTATTATAATGTCACGCTGAGCTATTTTAGTTTGTTAATTGTATTTCTAAAAACAATTTCCAAGTAAGTTAGTTTTGAACGGGTTATTTTAAGTCGTCAAATTTTTATATTTTTAATTACTAACACATATTCACAGAATAGCTTGATTTTATTATTGGTTAAACAAAAAAGAATCGCCAAAAATACGTACACAGAAGTTGATTTTTTAGTTTTCAATTCCTATTTTAATTGAAATTACATGTTTTTTAATTAGTATTTATGTAAAAGTAAATTACTTATCGTTTTTTTATGTGTAGATTTACAGTTATGTTATGAATACACTAGAAAAAGCAATAATATCCATAAATATGTATATATTATATATTTTATATATTATAATAATAATAGTAAAATAAACTACTGACAAAATACTGATGCGGTAAAATATCAACACAGCTTTTGTTGTTGTTTAACATGATTGAATTTTAACTCTATCATAAATATTTATATAATAGTTTACGATTAAACCGAATTTATCAGCTTTAGTAGTTATGTTACATGACAATATGATTTATATAAATAACGCCAAAAAAATATAAATGCATACAACATTAATTAAAAGCTCTTAGATATAGATATTTTTTTCACCAGTCAATATTAGTATTATTGTACAATGATAATTCACCTATATAACATAATATTTTATACATACTATACGATTTTCCTTTATCAGCGCCACAATACTACTTCAAACTTTCCTCGAGATAAAATATATTATAAGTATTATAATTTATTATACTTGTTAAAACATAAAAAAAAGTACTGTTTATAACACTATAGTTATTATTTTATTATTTATCTATTTGTAATATAATAATAATCGTATATATACTTAGTTTAAATAAAGTGGACAGTAATAACAATTATAATGATTGAAAATATTAATATATATATTAGTATATATTATATACTTATTACTTTTGTTATATAATAATTAAAAAATGTATAGTAGTGTTAGTTTTGCCAATTAAAAATTAAGGAAAGTCTATTGCTTTGTCGAGCAACGCAATTTGAGTTGTAAGAATTTACAAGTTTGATACCGTTTTAAACCGTTTTATAATTTAAAACGCATATTTTTTTTTTTAAATGTTTAAGTAGAAATGTTAACGATTTCGGCAACACCCCGGTTGTTATTAATGACTATATGATTATTAATAACTAAAAAGTATATTTCTTCTTGTTAGTAAACCTATGCAGGTATATTCAGTTTCGCTTCGGAAGAGTTTTTTGAATCTAATAGGCTTGATTTTGGTATTCTCCTAAAAAAACAAAATGAAATAATTATTAACATGCTTCATTATTGAAATCTTTTTTTAGGTAAAATTGTAATTTAATTCGTTTCTGATTATTGCATTCGTTTTTTCTAACCTCATCTTTACTAAAGATAGCAAATGTAATTCAGAAATTTTAAGTCATTTTAATCAAAAATTACCAACTTATTTGTCTTTCCTTCCCTCGTCTTATCCCGTGTAAATGGGATTGGCCCGCCAAATCGAATCTCACGCTTATTTATCTTTAGGTCTGTTTTTACCTTTCACCTCTAATTTCTACTTCTACATCTCAATGATCTACATTAATCCTTCTTATTCATTTTACTTTTCTCTCTTCTTTCAACACGTCTAACATCTTCTATGTTACAAGGTCGGAACACTTGACCGTATTATTTATAAGTATTCAACAGCGTGGTGTTTTTTGGCTGTACCTGAAATCTGTTTGTTAAACGGTGATTCGTGGCTAGAGTTGTTTTGTGCTTCGTCGTATCCTCCAAACTGATCGGCTTCAAAGGACGATACGAATGCTGGGTCAACTCCCATCTGGTATCTCTGGTAAGCAAAGTACGCCGAAGCAGCCTAAGACACCACATAAGGTATTTAAGGAGAAGTCATATTGATAAGTACGTTTTTACTTACCCAAGAAAATATGGCGAACAATGTGAAATAAACGGCAGTTGTAGGATTGGCAGTGCTTATTGACTCGGGGAATTCGGGAGTATCGCTCCAGGAACTGGACAGGTAGTAGAAGAGCAAGAAATTCCAAAACGCCCAAAGACCTAAAATGTGAATTTATGAGTTAACGGTTTCGTATACCGACTAGAAAAAACTTAAGCAACACTTTTGGTTATACTTCATAAAATAATTAAACCCTGACAGACTGAGGAGTATGTTTTCTGAGTTTATTTCATAACTGTTATTAAAAGTCCTTAAACACATAAATATGTTTTGTAGCTTTTATGTGGAGTAGACTGGGCGTTTGATGTGTAGTAAAAAATGATAACAAATCTTAAAAAATAACTTTCAGATGTAAAAAGTAGTTGGATAAAGTGTTGAAACTTGAAAGCAAAACAATTATAGGATTAAGTTAGAATAAATAAGATTGTTAAATGTGTTTTGTGCTTAATGTTTATGTGATCTGTAATACTTCTAGGTCGAGGCTTACTTGAAAATCCAAGGTCGAGAAGAACGTAATGCTTGCGACTCTTTACCGAAGGCACATTTTCAAAGTAGTATTCACCGCCGACGAATACAACCGCTCCGATTACCGATGTAAATCCAACGACACCGCCTATATGGCACCCGAAATTCTTCAGGTTAAACATACAAATCTCTTCACCAGTGTTCTTGTCTACAGTCCATGAGCCGGACGACACACAAAAGTATACGATCAAACCGAATAGCTAAAAAGAAAAAAAAACACGAAATATCAATTTTTTTGTAAAAATATAAAATATACCAACAGTAACATTAATAAAGGTTGAAACCCCGATCAACTCGGATTTTTAATTAACGTTTTCCATTTAATTATAATGTAATTGAAGTAAGTTTACTATAGTTAGTTCTTGATTATTGTATAATGTATATTGTTAATGCTTAATTAGAAACTGATTACTTATTATTAGATGGAAACTAAACGCTTTCCTCCCCCGAGGACTTGGGTCGTTTTCAGTGTTATAATTTATAAACATTAACATTACAGTAAAAGGTATCTTTAAATTAAATAGGCTGGCCGGATTAGATAAAACGCTTGACTGACTACAGAATTTTCTCATTGAGCGAAGTTGACAAAATGTAAATGATATTATCATCTAATAATAGAAAATGTACATCAGGTTTTAGATGTAATTGGTAGTTTATTGATCGAACACCTTCATTTAACTACTCAACCATTTATAGTATCATGTGCTCCGTTTGTATTATATCGATATATATAAATTACAATATAAAACCGTTCCATTCATAATCGATTACATCACAACACTAGTTCAGTTGACTTCTGCGTGCGGTCCTTTTACAATAACTAATTATCTCACTTGTTCTTTTTAAGCTTCAAACCAATATCGTGATACTGCAGAATTATGAATAGGATAATAATTGTATGTTGCAATCAGTTTTATACAACATACTACTTGTTTTGGAAAATATTTTTAAACTCGAACACAAATTGTATTAATTATTTCAGGCTTTTATTTGTTTACAGTAAAAAGTAAAACAAAAAATGTGTAAAATAGGTATGTAATTTTAACTAAATTTTTTATCGAAATTTAATTATCTGAATAAAAACACTACATCTTACAAAATGATAACCAACTGTTAAGTGTAGACATATTTAGATACTATTTAATACAAACTATTATTATCGATGATTGGATTTTGGTGAGATGCACCGCGCTGCATAAAAACATAGATAATAGAAACAACAGCTATTTTTTTAATTTTTATTATTCGACTATAGCAATATTCTGTGTGGGCGACGTTTGCATATACGGCGGCTGTGTGTTAGTAGGTCATTAGTTCGAAGGCGTATTTTCGATTAGTTAATTTTTTACAATCAAAATGTTTATCAAGAGTAATGTGTCCGAGTATTTTCTTTTTTTAAATTGAATAATTAATTGTTGATTAACTGGTATTATAATTAAAAAAATAATATCGATAAAAACAATAGTATGGTTTTTGGGTTAATTAGCAAATCGACTTTTTTTATGATCGTATATTGAACAGTTCCCCCGTTTTTTAACAGAAATTTTCAAGAATATTATAAACAATTTTTATAGTAGAGTAGTCAGGATTTCTATCCTTCGATTTACCAAAATTAAAGAAGTAACACCTTGCACACAGCACAGGAATAATTAATACATTATATATTCTGAAATTTCGGGGAAGGCTACATCCCTCTGAGCCCCTCCCCTAAATACGTCACTTTTGATGGAGGAAACATGTCCTTAAGTTACTTTTTTGTTTATTTAAAAAAACTAGATAATATATTTAAATAGGTATTCGTTTTATAATTTTATTGTGTACTTAACAAAATGTTATAGAGCAAGTAAAAATAGTTACTGAATAACAAATCAATAAAGCATAATTGCATAAATGGTAACCATGTTCAATAAATTAAATTATTAATCCTCTCTTTTCAAGTGCAGTATTGTACTATTTGTAAGTAGGTCATTGCGGTATTTTTAACTGGCGCATTCTAACAGTACAAAGTTGAATAATCGAATATTGGATATTTTTAATTTAAAACAGTTTTTTAACATTAATTTGTTTGTGGTTACCTAATAAACAATTAATTTCACTATTTAAATACCTCATTTATTTTGTTTGTAACAGATAATGAAACGATACAGCCATATCCATTACAACTAGGCCAGTGTATATTATGATAGGCATATGTGTCGTTAAAACCAAATAATACAAATATATGAATAATGGCATTCAGGTCGTGGATAATAAAAATATTTTTAAGAAAGCCAAAATATTAAATAGGTAATAATAATAAATATAAATAATTAAGTTATAATAATGCTTTTACATTTTAATTACGGCATTAACGCAAGCTATTGTTTACCAAATTTTTATTGTCCAACTAAGAGTGCTATAAACGTGTAAAAGGTGATCATTAAGAACTAATCGAATCTTGTGTAACCTATACTGTCGTTGACGATCGTTATTGCAATTGTGGATTTGGCCGAGGCCGTGGATTTTGATTTTAGTTTTTTTTTTTCAAAAAATATTTGTTTTAAATTGTTATTTTATTTCATCGGTCGATGAGCGTCGTGCACAGTATTATTGCGGAGAGGACTTACCAACGACAATAGTCTGACGAACACTTGAGGCTTGCGGACGAAATTCTGCACGTTGAACGCTCCGCCGACCTTGCCAGCCCCGTATGCTTGCGGGCCAGTGTCCATTTCCAATTTTGAGTCGGCACCACAAAGCAGTAGCGCGGGATCGTTGGAAAACTGAAAAATAATAGTTGAACCACACCAACTATATTCAGAGTTGTTTGTTGTTTACGCGGATGGCGTATTATCAACGCAGTAGCGGAAAGCTTTGGCCGAGATAACACGGGCACATTGATTTTTTCCAACCCCCTCCGCCACGGCCCTTCCCGTTCAACCCCCTCCAGGTCAACTGTTGTACTTAACGATTGGAGGGTGGCGTTTACCAAGCAACGCTAGTATCGCCACCGGGGTGTGTCGCCGTCGTACCAACTTGCAGCTGCCGTCGAAACCACCATCACTAGCTGATACAATACATATAATATTTTCCCCTGCCGCAGCCCTGCCACCCTCCCCAATTTTTCTCAAATACCGCTCACGGCCACCAAGAACTACAATACACATTGTTGACCTTCAACAGCAGCTACATTATATTATTATACAACAAAATAACTTATAATCGTGTAGACCTACACATAGAAAATAAATACAAAATATAGATACCAAATACTAATTTTATAAATTGTGAATAAACGGATCTTCAAATAAAAATATTGTATGAAAGGAGTTTGTTAAAAAATAATTGGAATTCCTAGAAGTGTTTCCTAGAAGAACGAACGTCAGGTCAAAAATGACAACATTTTCGGCGAACAACCAAATTTTCACTATTGACATTTTTCATTTTTTTTCTCACAAACGTCATCCATAAACTGAGAGAAAAAATTGATACAATTCAAAACAAATTATTGGCTTTCTGATTAATTTTTAAACTTTTTCTGTAAATATTATTAGTTTGGATACAATTGGTATTGACGAGTAATAATACGTTTTTTATAATACATTTGTACAACTTTTTTTGGTAAAATTAAAATTCTTAATTGTCTTCTTCTTTTTGCTTCTTGAATCTTAGTTCAAACAACCTGTTATATAAATAAATATGTTTAACAAATTTGTATTTATACTTTCCGATTTCAACCAAACCTGACCAATAGGTTGTGCCTACCAAACGCAGTTCAGAAATTACTTAAGCGCTAGTTTCAAAAAAAAATATCAGTTTAATAGGAGGTAGGTCTTTTTTTTATAACTGTAGCATATTAATTGGGCAATAGAACATTTCCTTGTATTTACTTAAGGTTCCGTCAGTGTTGGAGAGAGGGTTGGAAGTTGACATATTTAGTCTAATAGTTCATTATCCGAGTATAATTAGTTTACCCACTAATTCGCATGTAATAATAAAAATATAATATGCACTTCCATCACATGCAACAGGTTTTAGATAAAAATCTACTCGAAAAACTCAACTATATATTATACAAATCATCGCTGTTTTACGGATTACCATATTAGGTCTCCGATATCTACTCTCTAGTAGGTATCTAGTGTCCACCATGATCACCAAACGCAGTGCTAATCTGAAATAATTATATTTAAAAACATTGAAAGAATACATTATTTTTTTTTTATTAAAAGAAATAATATTTAATGTATAGCTTTTTTTTGGATTTACAAAAAAAGAATATAATGTCTTTTTTTTATTTGCTTTTGCAGAGATTTGAGATTTGTCAATACAAAAGTGTACCTATTTATAATATTTTTAATACTGTGGACGTTTTTATTATAATTATTTTAACAGTTAATAATTATATAGCTATAAGGTTAACGTGGCGTTTTGGACAAAACAGTCGCTCTGTTAACAAATAACAACTAAATTAAGCTGTTACTTAATCTTAAAATTTGACAATTTTAATTTATACGAGTTTTTAGGAAAGCTCCGTCTTCAAAAGTATTTAATAAATGTAGGTATACCTACTATGTATTTATTTACGGAAACAACTAAATAAGATCAACATCAACAAGTAGGCAACATTTTTGTGTTTTTAGTTTACCGCTGTTATCTTAAGTCTATAGCGTCCTTGATAGTTCAATTGAATAATTCCCCGATATTTTGGTTTGATTTCTTACTTGGTTTCTTATCTATTTAATTACTTGTACGAAGTACAATATACACATTATATTGAACAAAATCAAATCACGGATTGTTATATTTTCTGTGCCATTAATTTCCAAAAACGTATTTTGTATAATAATCGTTGAAAATCAAAAGGTTTGGTATTCGTATTAATTTTCGAGCAAATTTTATTTTGTAGCCATGGATATAGCAACGTCGACGGATATTATGATTGTCAGTGGTAATTCTCACTTGGAACTGGCCAATTTGGTAGCTCGGTAATTATTTGTCAAGTCTTCATTAAAGTATAGAATATTATTATAAATCTAAATTATTTATTTCTACAGCCGACTTGGAGTGAAGCCTGCACGATGTGCTGTTTCGTACACTACCAACAGAGAAACATCGGTTCAAATAAGCGATTCTGTTCGTGGCAAAGATATTTATATCATTCAAACAGGTTCAAAGTAAGTAGTCGGTCATTGTACTTGAACTGAAGCTGTAAATAAATATTTGTAGTATTACAAATAATAGTATAGTAATTTTAGATACGTTATTGATTTTTTGTAATTAACCTGTCCTAGTTTTAAAAAATTATTCATTTAATTCTCAATGTGAATTCTTATGTCTTTATTAATATCCTTAACCTAGTTTATGAACTATTTTCTAGAGATGTAAATAATAACATTATGGAACTTTTGATCATGGCATATGCATGTAAAACTTCTTCTGCAAAAAGCATTGTTGGCGTTATTCCTTATCTGCCTTACAGCAAACAATGTAACTAATAAATCATAAATATTCGGTTACACTTTTAATTGATTTGATAATTAAATATATTTTAGGTAAAATGCGTAAACGTGGATCCATTGTGTCTAAATTACTGGCTAAAATGTTGTGTTCTTCAGGATTAACTCATGTAATAACTATGGATTTACATCAAAAAGAAATTCAAGGATTTTTTGAATGCCCTGTTGACAATTTAAGAGCTTCGCCGTTTCTTTTACAGTACATCCAAGAATGTGTAAGTTCTTAATATTTATTAGAGTGCTCCTTATTTTAGTTTTTTTTTTTCATTTTCATGGTTTCCACCTCTCAATTGTCTCCAAATTACATTAAAAAAATATTGGTAAAACAACTATGCTGTATAATGAGTGCAAGTCATGTCAGTGAACATATATATATATACATATATTTGGAAACCATGAAAATTTGAGAAATATCAAAATATGGAGCACTTTAAATATATATGTTGTTTCTTTGAAATTAGCAAAAGTTTTTTAACATTTTTACTTATGTTTTGTATTTATAAATAGTTTGTTTTTATTTAGATTCCAGATTATCGCAATGCTGTGATAGTGGCTAGAAATCCAGGTTCAGCTAAAAAAGCCACATCCTATGCTGAACGTCTGCGCCTGGGAATTGCTGTTATTCATGGTGAACAAAAAGAGTCTGACTCCGATATGGTTGATGGACGGAATTCACCACCACCTTCAACTTCTCGTTCAAGAACTATGGATGTTAGTGTTGGAGTACCACAACATCCCGCTAAAGAAAAACCTCCAATCAATGTTGTTGGTGATGTTGGTGGCCGTATTGCTATCATGGTGGTTAGTAATAATTCTAAAGTATAATATACCGTTTATTAAGGATTAAATACCCTTAATAAACAATGTTGGGCTGGGTGACACTACTGAGTGCTCTCAATCTATCAATTGTTATTGTTTTTTTCTTTTATATATATATAGCTGTTATAAATTAACTTAATGGTTTTTTACAATAAAAAAAAACCATATTAATAATACACCATATAAACAAGTACAACATAGCTACTTTTTTCAGCTATTTTCGATACTGAAGTAAAATATTGCAAAATTTCATATTAAAATTAGTTGGATTACTATTAACTATTATATATCATTTAATTTTGTCCTAGAGCTGGATTGGTCATTTAGTATCATGTTTTTTTTTTAATTATACAAACGTTACAATTGTAACTACAGTTTTAATGAAAAACAAATTAAATTTGATTATAATTGTTAATAAATTATGTAGTTGTTGCCAGATAACTTTGCACAGTTGCGGCAGCGCGAAAACGCAAAGCCACAGGGGTTCTCTGTGTTTTATGTTGTTTTTTTTTTACTGTGCCTTGTCGAATTATAGTTGATGGTTTAATTTTATAAAATTTATAATAATAATAGTAATAACAACAACAATAATGAAGAACCTTTGCGTTCGAAATATGTTCATCCTAGCCGATGGATGGTCGAGGAAAAAAACTAGTTTAGGATACACTTGCTGATAAACGCCGCTGCTGCTGTGCCAACTTATCTGGCAACGACTGTATTTGTTAATTATATTGTGATATCGGTGACATTTTATAATACTGATATACAAAAAAAATAATTCTAGAAGGTCTACTTTCATTTACGTATTTTAGCGTGTTGTTAACGTGGCACCATTGTGTTCATTGTCAAATTTTCGTGTATTCAGACTGTATTAATTAACATATTATATTAGATAAACCATAATTTTTATAAATGTCAACAATTATTCTACGGCACACAAAAATCTTCCTTAAAACACAACTTTTATCATTTTCCAACAAGACTTGTTAACTAACCTTGAAGGTTGAAAAAACAATTATATTGAATCATTATAAATAAATGTATATATTTTTTCCATTTCATAATTTTTATAACGTTTTTATGAACTCACAATCATAAAAATTTAATTTTTGCTGCAACTACTGTGATCATTAGTGTACGTTTTTTTTTACAATTATTTTGTGTTTTTTGAACGGTTATGGTTATGGTTTGGAACTACTATAACTCATAGGTCGTCACCCATCTTACAATTAGCATCACCTAACAGCAACTACAGCTGACTACTGACCACACCATTATTTTATTTTTTAATTTTGTTTTAGGATGATATGGTAGACGATGTTGCATCTTTTGTTGCTGCTGCTGAAGTGTTAAAAGAACGCGGAGCTTACAAAATATATGTTATGGCTACACATGGTTTGCTGTCATCAGACGCTCCTAGACTTATTGAATCATCACCAATCGATGAAGTATATATTAAAATTAAATAGTATACATCAAATTATATTATGATTTATGACTTACATTGATTGTTACTTTTAGGTGGTTGTTACAAATACTATTCCTCATGAAATACAAAAAATGCAATGCCACAAAATAAAAACTGTGGACATCAGTATTTTGCTATCCGAAGCTATTCGTAGAATTCATAACAAAGAATCCATGTCATATTTATTCAAGAATGTTACATTAGAAGATTAGTTGATCAATGATAACTGCAATTTACTTTGTTACTACAACATAAACTAAGATTTTATGTTTACTAAAAAATTTTAAAGAAAATATATTATAAAATATGAACATAGGTTATAAACTTTTTCTTCACTAATATGTAATATTTTAGTTTTTATTTTTTAAACACATGTTTAACTTCTTAAACTTAATTAATAATTAATATGCCATACTACAGTGTTGTAGATTATGAGACTTTCAGACTGCATGCTAGTTTTATATAAATTGCACTGAACTAGTGAAACCAAAAAAGTAGTTTTTAGTTATCAATTATTATTGAAAAATGTACAAAAATAAATAAATAGAATGATTATTTTTAAATAAATAAAAAAAAATAATAAGCTGACGACTTACTATGTGTTAGGTTATCGACTGCCAAATTAAAATTGTTGGCATTCATTTGGGTAATTTTTATTAAATTATTCATTATTATACTTATCCCTTGCTAACAAAAAATCTATTCAGTCACTGAAATTAATGTTAAAAAAATATTTTCTTTTCCTTATCAAACTAAGTGGTAGACAATTATTTTTGTAAAATCTGGGCGAGATATTATTTTGAGGGAAAACTAAACGAACATTGCAACTCTTTCATTGAGAATATAATTTTAAAATAATTTGTGAAATGACAGTATAAAATATAATAATATTAAGTATAAAATTTGGGTATAGGTAGGTCATTAGGTATTATAGGTAGGTTATTTAGTATCATTAATACCTAGTGACTATACCAATGTCTAGGTGCCTACAACATAAGTGGGTGATGTGCATTACTAAATATTGAAGGTTCATTAAACTGTAATTGTGCTACACTGTTGCCCATTAATTTAGATAATAGAAAAAACATGGGCACGACAACAGCTCTTTTGTTTTACTTCTTCTTATTATAATTATTGTACCATTATTATTTATTTTTCATCTACTAAATATGTCTATAAAATAGCTTTTAATATTTTTTAAATTACATTGAAAATAATTTTTATATTAGGAATATCACTAGAATTTTTTATTATTATTTCGCTGTTTAAAATACTATAGCAGTATTCCAACTTTATGATCATATTGTAATAAATGAATTATCTACTTAGGTCTGTCACATTGGCGTAGCTTGTTTGATTATCTGTGAGGGCTACATAGGACTAGAAAAATGTATTCCAAAAACTCTTTATGTTTATCATGAAATAAAGGGAAAGGGAACATTTTTAAAAAAAAAATATGTATACATATTTATAAATATGACTCCTTCTTAACCTGGTATTTTATTTTACAATACATAAAACAATTAAAATTAAATTATTAAATTTAACTTATACGTCTGTCTTTTTCTGCAAAAATATTGAGTACATTTTCTGATTCTATTACATGTGATAAATCTCTTTCAATATGAAGTATTGACAAGTTTGTGAACCTATCATTTGTCATGGTATTTCTAATCCAATTCTTTATTCGTCTCATAACAGAAAATGAGCGTTCACATGAGGCAGATGATATTGGTATAGTCAGTGCAGTTTGCAAAAGTTTACAAAAATTTAGAAATATATTGTTGTCTACAATGGGTATGATGTCATCAATTTCAAAGGATTCTTTATTCATCATATTTTTTATGACCATCATTTCAGCCTTCAAATTTTCTGGACATGTTTCATGTTTTCTAGAAAATTCAAATAAATTAAAAAAATATATATTATAATTTATTTTAAATTCATAAGTACCTCATACTTATTAATAACTCAATACTTTTTTCATATTTTAATTGTATAAAATTGTCCACTCCTACACCGATTTTTAGACTTTCTACTGAAAACCTATTTTTCATGCCATTTATTACACAGTCCATTATTTTAAAATAAACATTTATTTTCCAGCATTCGAAATTTGCCTCTTCGTTAGACATATTATTATCGTTATTAATGATAGAAGAGCATTCATCCCCACTTTTAGAACTGATATAATAGTTACTTAAATGAATTGGCTCTTCTATTTTTATGCTTTGTACCTATAAGTATCAATATTTGAATTTAAAAAGATAAATAATAAATTAATTTAGACAAGTTTTTAAAATAGACTTTTAGAGATGTCCAAAGAAATTTACAAATTGTTGACAAATTCTTTTATATCTTTCCAAATTATTTTTAATTTATCAGTACAACGATCAGTTTCTGTTATTGTCATAATATTATCATCGGACGACGCGACAATGCGCGACTTCGATCCGACGACCGCACAGGGTAAATCCAAAAGTTTAATACGAAGTCATTAACAGGTCTTCTGATCTATAAATAAAAATGTTTATTGTTATGATAAAAATAAATAGGTATAAGTATGAAGTACAATAAACATTACACTTCTAATATTTGACCCCTTGATGAATTTCAGGGAAAATTATAAAAATATTTATAACTGTAATTTCGGATAAAATGTTTTAAATGAAAGTAAACACCGTGAGCGGGCTACAAAAGTTTTTGGGGGGGCTGTAGCCCCCATAGCAAACTACGCCCATTACATTATATTTTAATGATAAAGTCAATATGAATATTGTTATTGCTATAATATTGAAAACATGTTTTTTAAACATTAAACGTAATATTTCCATGATTTCTTCGAAATATTAGGTAATATTTTTATTTACAAAATAAAATTGAAAATAATGTATTATTAAATTTTTAGGAAATCATGTACAATTTGTTAATATTATATCAAATTGTCTAATCAATTTTTCATTTTTAAAAACTTAATTTAATATTTTTCTAGTATGACTAATGAAGGTTGGAATTTTTTGGGGATTTTTTTATCCTTTTACCAAGAAACCCAGACTATCCGTTTCGTTCAAGTATGTTTATGTAGAGAATCGATAAAATTAGTGAATCAAAAATAATACTGGAAGAAAATTAGAGATGATAAATACAACATGTTGAATAAAGAAATAATATAAAGAAATATTTAATATTCGCTCAGAAATAGTGTATAAATGTGCACCGTGTCTGCATTCAACAGGTGTTTCTCTTTAGTTAATAAAAACGCTGCAGACTTCGAACATTTTATCTCTACAAGACAACCACAAATCATAAAATTGATTATTAATTGCTCTACAAAACATAATATTTAGTATTATAATGTCGAAAGCGGTATTCGATGGGATAATCGGAGAAGGTGGTTTGGCGGTTGAAACTTTAAATTCTCTCCTTGTCCGGTTTCAATGGTGGAAGGTATAAATGAGGAACATTAAAAATGCTCTATAAGCGACGGCGGCAATTTTTTTTAAATAAAAATGGCTCAATCATTTTTAGGTATAGACCGACGACCGTTGACGACGGATGATTGTGAAAACGTTTTATCTAGGGATAATGTATAATTTTTCTGTGTACAATATCTCTGAAAAAATATTATCAGTAGAATGATGATAAGCCGGCTGGTGGTGGTGGTGGTGGTAAGCTGCTGCTGCTACGCCGTTATTTTTTTCAACCGCGTTCTTGTGTTGTCTACTACAGGCAGCGATAGCTGATACGTCATCGTCGTTGGTTAATGGTTATGTTTGTCGGCGTGTGTGCAGTGTGTTGCTGCTCGTCATCATCCCACTGCTAGACCAGCGTCTATACCATAATACAGGAACATACAAGAAGAAGAAAAAACGAGTAAGGACAACCATTTCTTAGGTACGGCACACACGGCAGTCGTCACTCCGTATCGTTCATTCAGTAATCAGTACACGGCAATAACGGTTATTATTATTGTCATTAAAACTTATTACTTATTACATATTATTATTATTATTAATATTATTTTTATTAAATTGTAAATTCGTACAGATAACAAATGATGCCGAATAGGTACACAGAGAGACCCGGCTCGTTAACGGGTTTTCGAATTTCGTTATAAATTATAATTTTTTAATTTTTTTTTTAAATTTATTTATTTCAAAAAAGTTCTTTTTTTAAATTTATTAACAATTTTTGTATTAAATTTAATTTTTCCTGCCGAGTGCCGTGTACGAGACGTAAGCGTGTGAATAGTTTTTGTGACGTTATCTACCACAACTGTCGCAACAATGGACATGGATTTAGACAGATCGGATCCGTTCATGAAATACCTAGCTGTTGATCGCAACAAGCTCAACGATCAACCCACACAAGCCGAATGGACTCAAAAACGCTTGGTGTGGGTGCCTCACGAAACGCAGGGTTTTGTGGCAGCCGGTATCAAAGGCGAACGTGGTGATGAAGTTGAAGTAGAAATCGCGGAGACTGGCAAACGTGTATTGGTCGACAAAGATTCTATCCAAAAAATGAACCCTCCTAAGTTCGATAAAAGTGAAGACATGGCAGAGTTGACTTGCCTCAACGAAGCTTGCGTTCTTCATAATATTAAAGACCGATACTATTCTGGATTAATTTATGTAAGTAAAACCTTTAATAATACTGTAACTCTAACTTGGCTGTTATATTTTACCCTGCTTTATGAAATAGGCTACACCTAACACATTTATTCTGAATGTCTACATATTCTATAAAATGACTAGTGATTCAACCCCATTTAACTGTAATTAAAGCATTAAATTGTATATGTGTAACCTGCCCAATTTTTTTTAAGACCTTTCAACTGTTGTGTTTTCCTATAAACGTAACAATCAATTAGACCAGCTCATTGCAAAATGGATGGGTGTAATCTATAATGTAGTGAACAAAACATAAAACTTAGTTCAAAACTTATCACGTTCAATTTTTTGAAACAAAGATTGCTGCCGCCTTTACTCTAGCACAAGCTCATATTTAAAAAAAATAACAAAACATGCCTATTATTCAGGAAAAATGCATTATTATTATTAGAAAATAATGAAATTCTAATATTCAAAATATAAAAGGGTCCAAAATGTTCAGCTATATTTTATCATAACTCACATGTAGATACTTAATTATTTGAGATGCATAAGCCAGATTTTTAGTTGTAACATTAATGAAAGATTACAATTGAAGCTGATTAATTTAGGAACATTTAAATTTAATGGTTTAGTATATCGTAAGCCTCCAGTATTCAGCTGGTAGTTATTAATCTATAGATTGGATGGAATTGTATTGCACCATAAAATTAAAGTACTATAATATGTTCATAAATATTTAACAAAACAATGTTATTTTTGTATACAGGTCTTTAACTAAAGATTTTATTTTATTTTTTCTTGGTAGAATGTTAAGATTTAAAATTTAATTATTTACTTTTGAATAATAAATATAATTTAAAAATACTAGTTACTATTGTTTAAAATCAAGTTACATTTGTTTGTGATATTATTATTGTTACTTTTTTTTAAAGCTTTGGCAATTTACATTATTAACCTTTTTGGTTACGGAGTTAGTTTCTTGTATTTTTTGGTTTGTTTCATGTTTTAACTGTTAAGATGGAAAACAGAGATAGGATAATCTTATGGGTTTAGGCTAAAAGTCCTGGGTCATCTATCTGAGATCAAAAAAGATGGCGACTTAAAATTAATGATTATGTTTAAGTGTCATTTTTTAAAGATTGTATTATGTAATATATATTCTATATAATGATGTTAATCGTTCATTTGGTGAATTTTGGGTAGGCCATTAGGTAAATACTACTTAAACCACATCCATAAGTATTAATTGTTAGTCATATAACACCTTCATCTATATTTGGCAAAAATATTTAAAAAGGATTGGTATCATACAGTTAGTTGTAGGTTACTAGATAAAAAATATGTTTAAACTTATTGAGGACTAGGAAAAAAATATTAGTGGTCGTTGTTGTATTCTATTATAATTTAACAATACAGGTTAAAGCTTATGTAATATCATACATATTGAGTAGAATAAAACTTGGAATTTAAGTATCAACATGTATATTTATATATATTTGATAATCTTGCTCTGGTCTACTTAAATATTTTAAAAACATATATATATATATTATTTTTTTTCATTGTCACTAATGTAAATTTTAACAATAACCATTGCTTTTATGTTTTCAATGATATATTCGTGTTTAAAATGTTTACAAAACAAATAATATTCCCAAACAAGCCTAGAATGATTTTGAAACAATTAGTTTAGCTATACCTACTATAAAAATGTTTTAGTAACCTATTTTTAAGTGTTTACGACTTCAATAATTTTAGTATTGTTTACATATAATTTGTAGTTGTGTACGTAATTGAATACATTTGATCTGAGGCTCTCAAATTTTTTAGTTTTTTACCAAAATTTAGATTATTTTATTTATAATTACTGTAATTTTAAATCAATATTTCGTTCATACATATAAAAAATAAATTTAAGAGAGAACACCTAATGAAATGCTATTTTTGTAAATCAACAAATCAACACCCACAAATAAGTTGTTTTTAGAACACCCTTCTCCCTTGTAACGTCGCTGTCAAAGTTTCTGACGTTTTACATTATTGCGAAAAATAATTTTTTAATAAAAGTTGTGGGTAAAATTCTCAAAACTTTAACAATTTTAAATGGCGATAAACGTTATTAATTTGTACGTTTTAATCGAACTACAATGAGACGTTGTCTCGGTTTCATATCAACCTAATTCCTAATAGCAATCAATATTATATTATATTTATAGTGTTTTTTCCTCTAGTCTCGACAAATAGTTAAATTCTGAAAGATTATAGTCCAACCAGAGAATAGATAAAAAAAAAACATGTTTTAGTGGAAATCGACGCACTTGACTAATACACCACTAATATGTAATACTCGTGTTATGACTAAATATTTCAGTTTTTATTCCTAGTAACGACCGAAGTATTTACTTTTTAAGCAGTAAGCACAAAGGAATGTGGACAGGTCATTCCGGGTCAGGTGATTTGACATTATCTCGTCCGGACGGCGCCCGCCCTCCGTGTAGGTAACCACCGCGATTATGGTGTGGCACTTAGGTCAACAATTCGTTTGTATCCAATAATGATATCTTATATCTGTATTATATAAATTTTCCACAATTCCCTCCACAGTAGTAACATGACGCGAAAAATTGATTTAATATTTTACATTTTGACCAGACAATACACTGTTGTTCGAGTGTGAAGGAAAAACCGAATGCATATAAAGTAAAACAGGTTTTCTCTGGCGAACAGCACTGTCGCAGCAAACAGCATTAAAAAATAATTTAAACCCAATGGTCGTTAAAAACGAATCGGTTAATAAACTTATACGCACTGTTTGTATTTTTTTATTGTATGAATCGTCTCAACGAGGACAACGCAAATATTTACTTTTATTTTTTTATACAACGTGAGAACGAAATCGCCTTGCCTATTATTTTTCCCGGGTAAAAATGAAAACAAACGTGACGCGCTAATTTTTTTTATTATCTTCACACTGATATTTTCGCCGTAGTTTTAAAACTTAAAATTCATTTGAATAATTTTCCAATAGATTATAATTACTTATTCAAAATCCCAAAAAATCCAAACAACATAAGTTTCTCTGACACAATTTTCACTTTTATAGCTTTTATTTGTGTCCATATATAGATGTAGTAGTAATAATAATATATTCTATTGTCTACGGGTTTCAACATGCAAGATAATCTTTAGTTAAAAAAAATCGCCAGCTAAAATCAAATCGCAACGGATAATGCCATCGCTGTGCACTCGTTACTCATTTTAAACACCCACCGTGTGCACACGGGATCCTGATTTAAGCATACAATTATCACATTGTATTCGAACTTAAGCCAGTTTCGAGTATCCATTATTAAAACGTTGGAATAAACTTTGTTGGAATTTTGTTTTGAAGACGCGCAGCTTTTTATCGGTCACCACGTTCATTGTCGCGTCAGCAAAAAAAAAAAACGAACAAAACATAACATAAAAAAAAAAACATATGGACAAAACACATTTTTCGATGACTGTGTCATTCCTTGAACCTATTTCGAATAATTATGTTAGCCGTCTGATTATGACACTTACGGCGTTTAGCTAATTAACAAACGGAAGAAAAAAAACATTAATTTGCGATAACAAAAATATTATGTACAACCGAACGCTGACGGTACCCATTTGGCTTTTAATCGTCGACCTGGGCCTTGTAGACGTCAATACGTTTTGTGTGCTCTTGCCAAATATTATCATAATATATAGGAGATATTTTAGATATTTACACGTTTTCCGTGCACACACAAGCAATATTATATTATGTGGGAGCGGCTGTAGTCCGAACCGCCGTCGTCGTTGTATGCTCGTGAACCCTCCACACGCCGCTGTTTATTGAGTCATACCCGTAAACGTGCATTAGATGTATATTATATATGCTTGTAGACACACTTGTAAACTATACATAATATGCATAAGTTTTATATAAGTATTTAAAACATATATATATATATTATTTTTCTTCTGTCAATTTTGCCTAATCAAATCATTTTTGAATTTTCAACCTGATCTTTCATCTCCAACATAAATGATTTTTCATTACGTAACGGAAAATTATTAACTAGGTAATAAATATTGCTATGTATGTATGTGTGTGTACCTGTATACTTCTATTGTATTAAAGCGCAACTAGTCGTAACCGATTAGTCACTAAGACGACGACGACAATAGTCGCCATAGGTAATATCAGGCCGTGGTATCGGAATTCTGGTCCATTTAAAATGATGTATATATATATATATATATATTATTGTGTGTGAGTAGGATTGCAAAACAAGAGAAACCTCGCTAAACATTCACGGAATTTGTCGCGAATGATTAACTGCCGTTTAATTAGATGTTTAATGGCCGTCTCGACGGATTCTTAAAGATGTTTTTTTTTACCGCCGTATCGGATCGTCACACAGATCCATTTGCAAGTTGATCCGCTGTATCCATAAAAAATAAAAATATGTCAGTATTAATACAGATAACTATAAATTTGGATAAATCTGGAATGGACGGTAAAAATAAATATTTTGTTAACAGTTTTCTCGTTAGCGCGCCACGGCCTTGTTTTTATTGTTATAAGACTATTTGACAAAATAACAGCTGAAAGAGGAAAAATATTATTGATTTTGAACAAATAGAATACTACATAGTACAAATAAGTCTGAAGAAAACGGACATTTCCTCTAGGCTCTGGATAGATGTTGGTTTTGAAACTGGTTTTGTTCCGTTAAGATAACTCTTACCTTTCCCCTTTTGACATCGTATAAAAAGTGTTAGAATATATATTTGTACATATATATGACTATATATTATGTATTACAATCGAACTAATAAATCTTGAACACATAACAAATGTTACCATCATTGACGCCAACGAACAATAATCATTCATTGATGGTGTAATGTAATGTAATAAATAAAATAAAAATATTCGAATCCAAGTCTAAACTAAAACAACATTTTTATCAACTCTACTCATGCTAAGACGAATGTTGTTGTACGTTAATAATGTACGCGTACCAATTTAATCGTTTTAAATGGAAACATAATATTTTAATAATATTTTTTTTCCTAAAAATATGTCTACTTGTAAGGTTTTGCATACCCTTGTTTTGTTTGTTGTATTAGTAGTCCTTATTCAATAGAATTATATTCAAAACAAATGGAAACCTTTATTTTGTTTTACTGTTAAACAATAACCATAAAAAAAACATTCAGTAGAGTGACAGCAGAGTTTCTGCTTGGCTGCTAAATGGTTTTTTGTTTCTTAGGGGAGCGGTGGGCTTGGCAGAACGTAGGTATTTTTAACCAAGCACCTTTTTAGTTGTCTAAATAATTAGAGAACTAAAAAATTATTTAAAATGGAAATAAGTGCCTAGAATATGTAGATAAATCAAAAAAATGTTTAGGCAAGTATACGATGTTATTGGGGTGTTGATAGAGATAGTGGGCTCTTAGTACTAACTCTACTGGAAATTTAAGCATATCCTAACCTATCTATAATTATTAGTATTCTTAAACTACTTACTACACTAAAATTAAAAAACGGTAAAAAATGTCACTATTACATTTTGTTTAACCTAAATTTACCATGAATTCATATCGTAGCGTTTATTAATATAATCACATTAGCCAAATGTATTAATATCCCTAAAATAGCGACCTTTATCTTAAAGAGGTCCGTCGAAAAAGTTGTGGGCTATCCTTTTCTGTGGAAAAAAAATGAGCGTAACGCTGATATTTAATTTTTACAATAATTGTAAACCCAAGTTAGAGTATTTATTATGTTGTTTTGGTATACATTTAAATTTGTTTTGTTATTATTACCAATTAACTGAATTATTATTGTTTTAGACTTATTCTGGTCTGTTTTGTGTGGTCGTCAATCCGTACAAGAGGTTACCAATCTACACCGAAGACATTATGGAGAGATACAAAGGCAGCAAGCGACACGAAGTACCTCCCCACGTATTCGCAGTTACTGACACCGCTTATCGGTCAATGTTACAAGGTTAAGATTTGGCTTTCGTTAAATTTATTTTAGGATTATAAAATTGTCTATAATTTTCTTGTGTGTGACTGTCGTTTTTTTTTCTTACATCATTTCAGACCGAGAAGATCAATCTATACTGTGTACCGGAGAGTCGGGCGCCGGCAAGACCGAGAACACGAAAAAAGTAATACAATACCTAGCGTACGTGGCGGCTTCCAAACCCAAAGGAATGATTCAACACGCCGTGAGTATTATAATCTAACACTATAGTATTAGTACACGAGGATACCCTTATCACTCGCTGCGGGTTACCTGACAATTTGATAAAAAAAAAAAAGAAATATGGTAATTTTGTGTGTTGTTGTTCCGTCAGTTTTCCATGTACTGATGATGGTGGGGGAGGGGGGTACAATATACGGTATAATATTATATAATATTGTCGTGGGTACGATTATAAATTGTCGGGCCACTATAATGGACGAGAGTGATTATATTCTTATATATAGTGAGATGTCAAAACGATGGCGTACCCGTTTATTTTAACGGGTTCAAAATAAGGTACACGTCTCGTTTGACTTTCCTTAGGACACTTTTTTTTTACTTTATATTAATCGTTCCAATTTTTTCCCCATCACGATACTCGAATTTGTATGTGCTCCACATGCATCGCATAATGGATAGGTGTAGTCCATATTCATTCAAAACACAGGCTTAATAACACATCTTATTGGTAGAAAATTGATTTCTGTAATCAGTTTCTTCCGAGGACTGACAAAAACGGTGAAAATATATTTTTATTTTCTCTAAAAGGATTTAAAAAATAACATATTTTTTGCTTAAAATTTAATAGTTAATAGAACCACTATAATGTATCTTTTTTTTTTTATTTGAAGTCACAATTGTAGTTTATTGAAAAAGCCTTTAAAAATAGTAAATAGTATAACTTATTATTAGTTATTATTTATAGTTAAATTATAAAATAGTAAGTAGTAGATCTTGTGTTTTTCTTTTACGAATATTTAAGGTTTCCAATAGGATCAGTATCGAAGAGATTTCTTTGAGTGATTTTAGACATAATACTTTCTACAAATGAGTCACCGCCTAGTCAATACCCCTGTCATCTGGCTTTTTAAAATCCTAGTTGTTTGTGCAAAACGGTATCGTTTGAGTGTCGTTATGTGCATTCGATTGTATAGGTATTACCGAAGACACTTAAAACCGTTAATTAAATGGAAGGAGGGGGCGCCGAGGAAATGTGTGGAAGTCGTTGCGAATTGGTAGTTTTTTTTTGCGCTTGTTTGTGTTCTTTGTAGGTTTCGGACGAAGGCGTTGTGTTGATTTTTTTACTAGAAAACCACTCCTACATCTATATTAGGCGTTCGACCGACTGTAACATATATTACGAAGATAAATAATTCGCGTAGTAACTATATAGTACTCCGCGATTCGAAGGAAAAAAAAAACATTTGCTTTAATAAATCTTACAGCGACAACTGTTGTTTTATTCATTAGCTAAACGTGTTGTGTGTAAAAAACTGGGAATATGTGCATTAAACACGTGGCGTTAGAAACGAAAAATGATGAAGATAATTCCATTTTTAATGTCCTGGACTTTTTACACGAAAGCCCGCGTGCGCCGCCTGTTTTAAACCAGAACACGGAGTTGGCCTGCTGTTCTTGGCTAAAACAATATTTCTTTCCATATTTGTCGCGTATAAATGTATTATAGTTATTTTCTCATCTCGGTCGTATTGATTTTTTTCTAATTGATTAGAACGGCCGACGACGCGTTTGTACTTGCCACTTGGCCTGCGGCAATACCGATTGATTGACAACCGATGTGTACTCGAATAACAAAATCATTTGTAATATATTTTTTTATTCCTTTTAGCGGCGTGTACTCTGAGCTCATGCATTGGTCTGATATACGGGTAATATAGCCATTCGGCAATGTCGATAGCGTGCAAACAAAAATCGCGACGGTGAAAGCTATTATCTCTTTACTGTGTCCCCTCAAACAATGCAATGCCTATGTATGTCCTTATTTTCGCGTTCGGTTTAAATATATTGTAATAATATGACGAAAACGGTCATTGTTCAAAGCACCAGTTAACATATTATGTACGTACGGATGATGAATACATATAATTTATGTAGTCGAACTATTGAAGAAGGTGTTTTGTTAAAAATATAAAAACTTTATAGGTATTTTAAAAATCATCAATAACGTTCGAACTGTACAGTCGCTGTCCATATACACAGATACCCTCGACGAACGAGGCTCCGCATTTCCATTTAGGTAGTTTCCGTTGAATGCCTAATTATGAATTTGGACTACACTGCCGGTGACCTTACACGCCGATTTTGGAGAAGGCAAAATAGAAAAAAAAAATACACACTACTATCGTTGTCGTAACGGGTTACGCGTACAGTGTATTTTCATTTTGTGATTTTCCACCTACACCCCACTCCTATCTGTGTAAATCGTCGGAGACTCAATTACACTATCGTTGTATTGCCTATTAGTGTTTTCCCTCCAAGCAAAAAACGTATAAACGATAATATAATTGAAGGTTATGGTGAAAGTCGAGCACAGAGATTTATCGCGGACTCCTCCTGCGCTACAGCGGTGGCAAGGATGAGGTTTAAAGTTTTGCTGCCTTATTTGGCGCCAAACCCCGATCTGCCCTCTTATGGTATCGGTTCTATTTCTCTTTCCATATAACCGTGACATGTGCAAAAATAATTATGAAAGACTCCCGTCGCACGGTCACCAAAATCCACACATGGATTCGTGCACTTTTACTTTATTTTTTATTTTTTTATTGAGCTCATGAATACCTATATGTCCATGCGATTACATTGCACACGGACCACACTATAAATAATAAACCGTCCACCTGTCACAAGTGTCAATCAGTGTGCTATAAAGCTACCGCATAAAGAAAATCTAAATGGCATACTTGTATAACAAAAACTAATTTGTTAAATCGCGTCTGTTTTTTGAATCTTCAGTTTAAAATTCAGTATTAGTAATTTGTTAAGAAAAAGCATAAATTCAACATAAGCGGACTTGGTTTAAATTACATTTTTTTTACAGCTGAATGTAAAAGAGTTTTTTAAATAAACTAAATTTGTTCACACTACAACGCTTCATTTATTATTGCTATTTTCAAAATATGATTAATGTCATTAATAATAATTAATATATACTGTGTATATATTGATGTTGGGTCTCTAAAATAGGCAAGCACGTTTGAATTGTTTAGCAAAACTGAACTAACGTACAGTGGTTTTAAACTCTCTCTGAACCTTAAGTTAGTTCTTAGACCAAACCAATTTTTAATTTAACTATTTAAATTTACATGTTTTTGTCGAAAAATCTAATTTATTAAAAAATATTTATAAGTACTTAATTTATATATTTTATGTATATCCTATGCCAGTAAGCAGTTTGCCAAATCATCATTATTAATCATTTTTTTTACCAAACGCGGACCTGTTGTTGTGCGTGACTGTAACATATGTTATATGTTTAATTCTTCTACGGGCCCCAACTGTTGGTTAATGTAACCATCATTTGCAAAACCATAAAAAATTTCGCCAACAACAAATAATTCACCCGGTCAATAATTAAAATCTTCATTGGACAGTTTTTTCCGAGTTTGTGTATTATTGTTTGAGTTCATTTATTTTATTGTCTTAATTGAATGTCACATGTCCTTCTGTTGACCGTTCGATTACCGTTGAAACACGAGCATCATTGACCATTTATGGAATTAATTCCTCGTGGACGTAGTATCCAATGGTAATCATTGGAGGTAACAGAAAAAAAAATGAGGGGAAATCTTAAGATTCTTAAGAGATTTGTTTAAAAATATAGATATATATTATAACCTAACCTAACCTTTCATTTTGACATATTCTTTCATATAGTACAAAAATATAATATATTTCATGAAAAAGTATCTAGTATAATTCTTCAACATGTTATCTAAGTTATGATGCTTAACGATAAACTAGTGTCATCGAATACAGATTAAATTCCAAAGTTTTCATCAACAAAATAAGGTTACCTAATATACACACAAGTTATTTCGAAATGATTGTATAATCTCAGTTTTAGATTAGATGCGTTAATTCAGTGAAAATGTGTATTTACTAGGACATCATACTTGTTATTGTTTGGACTAACGATTCCTACTACTATTATTTTTGTGACTTACTATTCGTAGATATTGCAAAACATGTTCATCGTTCTAAAGTTATACCTAGTTTATAATTAAGGGCTGGTAAATATTATCGTTATTTATTTATTTTTATTATATCGAAGTAAACTGTTGTGACTATTTTGGTTTTTTAATAATTAATTTTTATCAAAAGAACAAAAATTCCGAAATCTATTAAAACTTAAACAATTGGGTTTTTAGTATGGATTAAAAATATTTTATTAGAAAACATTTTTAATGCTATACGATACTTACAATTAGTATTTTCATTTTTATTTCTACAAAGTGTATGTGAATTCAATTTTTCAATTTTTAACAAAATATTAATTTTTATTTTCAACTATTCTACATTTTTCGCGCAAGACTCTTTACACAGTTATAGCAATTACGCTTTAGCTGCTTATTTTTAACCACCTATTTTAAATTTTGTAGAACGCCAAATGTCTTATTTTTTCCGACGTATAAACATCAGGTTATCATAATGACACGCTATTAAAAACGCGTTTTGCATTAATCGTTTTGTTGTAACATTCCCTGCCTAAGCGCATGCGTTCCATTTATCTGTCCAAAGATGCTAGGGGCCGCTTGTGTCCGTTTTACCTTAAATAGCCACTCGCCGACTTTATTATCACTGCATGTCGTCCGTGAAAAACGGTAAAATTCATCCAAGTTTAATAGCAATATATTTATTGTATTCAGTGGTATCTACTACTAGTAGTAATAATAATAGTAGTAATAACCTTGTACCTACTTGTAACTAGATCTAAAAAGGCACAGCAATGTCCCCCCCCCCGCATATTAAAAAAAATCATTACAGTTTTTTTTAACTCTGGTTTTTGATAAGAATATTAATTTATGCGGTTTTTTTTAATTCATTAAATCTATAGTAGTTTTTTTCCTAAATAAACAAAAAAGGCTATGGAATTCAGCAAAAATATTTGGCTTTATATAGAAAAAATTTCGAATAACACGAGCAACAGAACTCTTGATAGATTAGTATGTTTATAATTATAGCTTAATGTAGAGATGTACAATTTATGGGTTCATATTTCTAATATAATTTAGGATACTTGTAGAAAATGTTGTTTTCAATTGTCAATTCAATTTAAATGAAAGTGTACATTTTTGGATGACTTATTTAACATTTTTATTTAAAAATGTTGTGACTTATTTTCAATTTTTTTAATCGATCGGTTGATAACCCGGTAAGTAGACACTTCATTACTCATTAGTCATAATAACACTATGTACTTTTTACACATTCGATGAGTCATTTGGCAGACCACGAATTGAGTATTACCGATTGATAATGTATAAGAAAGTCATTCCAATTCGTAATCGATGAGAAACGCATCAGTTTTGAATTTTATAGTCTCAGTTAACAAAATTATTCAGAATACTTACTTACAGTATATATTCACGTACGGTTTGGCCCACTTTAAAAATCTACTACTTATCAACAATTATCCATTAGTCATTCCATTTGACCATTTATTCACAGTTAATAATTATGTGTCTTAAAAAAGAAAGCTAATCATATAGGATAAATAAATTAATAATATTTAAAAAAAAAAAAACGAATACTGTATTATTACTACTATACTGAATAGTAACTACTACTTTTACTATTATTAAATACTTACTACTGTACTTTGTTGTGAAGAAAAGTTAATACCTACAATTTATATATTGTACATGATTCATTATGGATTATACAAAATTTAAATGTATTAGAGTATAGGCCACAAATTGCTAAGTTCGATTATCTTTATTAATCGAAAATATAGTTATTTTGTAAGGACAAAAAAAAAAGTCTTCTTTATTATGTCCATAATATATATCGGAGTTTATTGTTCTTTCTGTTTTTAGTACCAGAATATAACATACATAATAGCGTGTGTTCATCAGTTGAAAGACAGACATTATTCACCAAATTATCTTATTTTTTTTTAATTCAGTGTAACACTTGAGTGCATGGTAATATTCATCCCTGTGTTTTTACAGAGAAGACATTTTTTTTTTTAGTGATAAAGAAAAGCTTTGTGTACAATTCCTCCAATGAACACTTAAAATCATTCTGTCAAAAATCCTGCAGCGCTATTATAAGCCTCTATTCACATCTGATCTATAACATCATTTCTCCTTGGGCGTTAGGTAGCACACACAGATTGTGTATATTAATATTTTATAGCTAATCTGTGTTACACTAGACATACACGTCATATAAGGCAATGTTTTTCACTAACAGCAACGGAGGCAACAACCATATGCGGTGGTCTTTGTTCCTGCTTGTTTATGTTAATCATCGAGTTCTCGGTACACACACCGTTGATAATGTGTGTTGGTATAAAAGAGCCATTTTTTTTATTTTGTTTACTCGGACTACCCATTGCGATTTAACTCGGTTTGTTCATTAAAACAAAAATCACACGTCTTACAACAGGTCGAAAACCAAACGTTTCTGCGGTGCGGAAATAGCAATGGAATGTTTTGTTGTTTGTGTATCATCACAATTTTTACAGTACCTACCGTTTGGTAGGTGCTGGTTTAACTACTACTTACGGTTCCGTAATGTAGTTGTTTAATTATTATTATCAAAAAAACTGATAAGCTAAAAAAACAACAACAGTATAATGTTAAGATTCCCTGGAATTTCACTTGACTAGATAAAATTAAATAAAAGCCATTCGCCATAATAATGGTTTCGTTTAGAAAAAAAAAAAATATAAATATATTTTAATTTATAATAAGTAATAACTATTAAATAGGGTATACCAATTACATTTTAAACGTATATGCAATTTTATTATCTATACACGCATTATGGCTACTGTACTTTTATTATATCATGACCTTTGTTGCACTACACAGAATTAAAAAAAAGTATGTTAATAGCCAAACAAGTATGTTATTTAGTATGTTAATAGTTATATATATATATAACTTAATAGGAGCTAATCATCATGCTTTGTTATTATTCTATGTATACAGGGTGATCAACTTATCGTGAACTACTCAATATCTCAATTGGTTTAATTGTTAATTTAATTTTTTTTTTTACCCCCCAACTTTTTTTTTATTAACAACTTTTGAAACTTAAATGGTAACGCTTACATTTTATTAACTTTTTCCCATCCTATCTTTCAAACTCTTATAACTTAAAAAATAGTTATCCAAAACTGGTTATCGACCAGTCAACATTTTTAGTACATTATTCTCAATTTAAAAATGTTAATGAAATGTATGCGTTACCATTTAAGTTTCAAAAGTTGCTATCAAAAAAACTAAGTTGGAAGGGGGGTAAAAACAAAAAAAATTGTGAGAAATTGAGATCACATTGTATAAAAACATTATGGAAAAAAAAAATTAAATTATTAATTAAACCAAGAAGTGAGATATTGAGTGGTTCACGATAAGTTTACCCTTGTATAAACCTCGACCATATATAGTTGTTAAAAAAAAAATATATATCTACATATGCTTACAAATATTGGTCCTATCGTTCATTAATATTAATAAAATGTTATCAAATATTTTTTTATTAATTACAGTGAGGGACGCGGTTTATAAACGAAAATGATTGTTATTCATCTATTTATTACTCTTTTTTCAACTATACACCTCGTATCGTATTAATTATTTTGAGTTGACTAATGTATACATATTTCAAAAGCTATTTACTCATTTCTATCTATAATAAACATAAATTAAAATACAACTTGAATATCACCAACAATATCCAGTGTAAATTAATGTCTAGTATATTAGATGAAACAACAGATCTGCATATTTATTTAATGTTTAATAACTTTAGTACCTCAAGCTGCTTGCTTGCTTCACTTATATGTGACCACAGACTTGACTACATAAAAAATGATGTGCCAAGTTTGGATGTAATCAAAATATCAATGATGTGAATTGACTTATAACTCATCAGTGGATATAATATTTTAAGCAGTTTTACTGCGGATACCATTAATATATTATATTTTAATTAAAAATAAATAATTATAACTTTAGCACAATAATATAAACATTCAACAAATGTATAGATAAAAACTAATTATCTTTATTTTATGATTTTTTTTATGTTCGATTAAAAAAATTCACAGTCGCCCGGTCCTGCTTTAATCGTTGTAAGTATTTGGACTTCTTAAATTGCTATTTTAGTATTACACTTACCGTTTGACTAACAACATTGTATTAATCAATAATCAAACCAAATCATTAACTTGTCTTAAGTTTGAAAGCTAACTGCTAACCTTAGTTTATCCTTAGTTTTATAACAATATATATTTAACTATTAACATTATTTTTAACTCATTAACATTTAATATGATTTTGCACGCTATCCACTCAGATTGATGTAATTACTAATTAGTGCAATAACTGACGCTATAACAATAGAAATAGTGTCTTCGAGTGAGTAGCTGGAAATGTTAAATTTTAAATTTGTTTATGACAATTGTTTGTTAATATTACAAGTATTTTTGTTAACAGGGCGAACTTGAACAACAGTTGTTGCAAGCTAATCCAATTTTGGAAGCTTTTGGAAATGCTAAAACTGTTAAAAACGACAATTCTTCCAGATTTGTAAGTTTATACAAGTGGCTTAATTAAATAATTTTTTTTAACGTTACCTTTGATTTTTTTCCCTAGGGTAAATTTATCCGTATTAATTTTGACGCGTCCGGTTTCATTGCTGGCGCTAATATTGAAACATACTTGTTGGAAAAATCCAGAGCCATACGACAGGCTAAAGATGAACGTACATTCCATATCTTTTACCAATTGCTTAGTGGTGCAACGACTGAACAAAAAAGTATGCTATTTTGTAGATTATAAGTTAATTGATAAACAAAATAAAATATACTAAATTATAATCTTTTATTAAATTTTTTTTTAGAGGAATTTATTCTTGAAGATCCTAAGACTTACAACTTTCTTACAAACGGCAACCTACCTGTGCCTGGTGTTGATGATGCTGCTGAGTATAAAGAGACCGTTAATGCTATGAATATCATGGGAATGACCACTGAAGATTATTCTGGTTAGTTTGATAAAAATGTCCTATTAAAATGTGTATTTTATTAAAAAATACCTATTTAACTTTTTAGCCATATTCCGAATTGTAAGTGCTGTCATGTTATTTGGAAACATGCAGTTTAAACAAGAGCGTAACAGCGACCAAGCAACTTTACCCGACAACACTGTAGCACAAAAAGTGGCTCATTTGTTGGGTTTGTCTATCACTGAGATGACCAAAGCTTTTCTCAAACCTCGTATTAAAGTTGGTAGAGATTATGTAGTCAAAGCTCAAACTAAAGAACAAGTTGAATTTGCCGTGGAAGCTATTTCTAAAGCATGTTATGAACGTATGTTCCGTTGGCTTGTACATCGCATTAATCGTTCTTTGGATCGTTCAAAGAGACAGGGTGCTTCATTTATTGGTATTTTGGATATGGCTGGTTTTGAAATCTTTGAAGTAAAGTATTTATATACTATAAAATAAGACTTGAAAAATGTATTAATTATCATTGTTATTTTTCTTTGAAATGAATAGTTGAACTCATTTGAGCAATTGTGCATAAATTACACCAATGAAAAATTACAACAGCTTTTCAACCATACTATGTTTATTTTGGAACAAGAAGAGTACCAAAGAGAAGGTATTGAATGGAAATTCATTGATTTTGGGTTAGATCTTCAACCGACTATCGATTTAATTGACAAAGTATGTATTTATGACATTTCTTTATGTTTGAACGATAATTTATGTATATTTTAATTTGTTTAGCCAATGGGAATTATGGCTTTATTGGATGAAGAATGTTGGTTCCCAAAAGCTACAGACAAATCTTTTGTAGAAAAGCTAATGTCTGCTCAAGGTGTCCATCCGAAGTTTATGAAAACTGATTTTAGAGGCGTCGCTGATTTTTCAATAATACATTATGCCGGTAAAGTCGATTATTCTGCTCGCAAATGGTTGATGAAGAACATGGACCCATTGAACGAAAACATTGTACAACTTCTCCAAACTTCTCAAGATCCGTTTGTTGCCCACATTTGGAAAGATGCTGAAATCGTTGGCATCGCTCATCAAGCTCTTAGCGACACACAATTTGGAGCACGCACCAGGAAAGGAATGTTCCGCACAGTGTCGCAATTATACAAAGAACAATTGAACAAACTCATGGTTACTTTGAGAAACACAAACCCCAATTTTGTGAGGTGTATTATTCCAAATCATGAAAAACGAGCAGGTAAAATCGAGGCGCAACTAGTGTTAGACCAATTGCGATGCAATGGAGTGTTAGAAGGTATAAGAATTTGCAGACAAGGATTCCCCAATCGTATTCCTTTCCAGGAGTTCAGGCAACGATATGAGTTGCTCACTTCAAATGCTATACCTAAAGGTTTTATGGACGGTAAAAAAGCATGTGAAAAAATGATAAAATCCCTTGAACTCGATTCAAACCTCTACAGAGTCGGACAGTCAAAAATATTCTTTAGAGCAGGTGTCCTAGCTCATTTGGAAGAAGAGCGCGACTTCAAAATTTCTGACCTTATTGTTAATTTCCAAGTATGTTTCTTTTAACTATGTTAATCAAACTATTATGTGTTAAACTGAATTTATATTTGTGTTAACAATTTAATTAATTTGTTTAGGCTTTCTGCAGAGGATATTTAGCACGAAGAAACTATCAAAAACGTTTACAACAGTTGAACGCCATTCGTATCATACAACGTAATTGTTCTGCATATTTAAAACTCAGAAATTGGCAATGGTGGAGATTGTACACAAAAGTAAAGCCATTGTTGGAAGTTACCAAACAAGAAGAAGTTTTATCAGTCAAGGAAGAAGAATTAAAGGCGGTCAAAGAAAAGTTGGAAACCCAACAACGTGGGGTCGTTGAACTTGAGAAAAAGTAAAGTTTTTGAAATCAGCTTTTAGTGAAAATTTTATACTAATGAACATTTTTTTTACTAGATACCAAACAGCAGTTGATGAGAAAAACGCTTTGGCTGAACAACTGCAAGCCGAAGTAGAATTGTGCGCTGAAGCTGAAGAAATGAGAGCAAGGCTGGCTGCTAGAAAATCAGAACTGGAAGACATATTACATGATTTGGAAGCTAGAATTGAAGAGGAAGAAGAAAGATCTAGCTTGTTATCTCAAGAAAAAAAGAAATTACAACTTAACATAAGTGTTAGTATCAATTATAAACGTTTTGACTGTTGTTGTTATCTTGTTAGCTAATTAGTGGATATCATTTTTAGGATTTAGAAGAGCAGTTAGAGGAAGAAGAAGGTGCTCGTCAGAAACTTCAATTGGAACGAGTACAAACTGATGCTAAACTCAAGAAATTGGAAGAAGATCTTGCACTGGCAGAAGATACCAATGTTAAACAAGCAAAAGAAAAGAAGGTTTTGGAAGAAAGAGCTGCCGATTTAGCTCAAACTCTGGCCGAAGAAGAAGAGAAAGCTAAACATTTAGCCAAGCTTAAAGCTAAACACGAGTCATCTATTGCAGAACTCGAAGAGCGTCTGTTAAAAGACAATCAACAACGACAAGAAATGGATCGTACCAAGAGGAAAGTTGAAACAGAGGTAAATAACTTGAATTTTTTTTAATTCTTCAACCATTCTGATCATTATTGGTATATTTAAGGTTAATGATTTGAAAGAGCAACTGAACGAAAAGAAAGCTCAAGTAGAAGATCTACAGCTTCAATTGGGAAAACGAGAAGAAGAATTAACACAAGCGTTCATGAGAATAGATGAGGAAGCTGCCAGTAAGTGACATACTAAATAATGCACAATAATAGTGGTTAGCTAAATTATACATTTACATTCAATTAACATATTTTTATCAACAGTTTTTTTAAAATAATTATTAATTAAGCTTTTATTGTATTAATTCATTACTTTTTCTTTTAGGCAAAGCTCAATCCCAAAAAGCGCTTAGAGAACTGGAATCTCAACTTGGGGAGCTCCAAGAAGACCTCGAAGCCGAACGTACAGCTAGGAGTAAAGCAGAAAAACAAAAACGTGATTTGAATGAAGAACTTGAAGCTTTGAAACACGAGCTTTTGGATTCTTTGGATATTACTGCTGCACAACATGAACTAAGAGCTAAGCGTGAACAAGTATGATCAATTGAACAATCACTATATTAAAATTTTGAATTTAGACTCAAATAATGTTAAATATTTCTGTATATTTTTTAATTTCTTAGGAGTTGGCTACTTTAAAGAAATCATTGGAAGAGGACACCCAGTCGCATGAAATTATTATTACTGAAATGAGACACAAACATAGTCAAGAGATATCTGTTATAAACGAACAAATAGAATCATTAAAAAAAGTACAGTGTTTATATATTAAAATTGTTTATTTGACCATTTAAAAATTATGTTTTAATTTTGCTGTTTAGTCAAAAAGTCAATTAGAAAAGACCAAACAGACACTCGAAGCTGAAAATGCCGATCTCGCTGCTGAACTTAAAACGTCTGTTTCTTCTAAATCCGAATTGGAAAGAAAACGCAAAATTGCCGAATCTCAACTTAGTGAGTAATCACTAGTTAGCCATTGCAGATTTTATATGTAGTTGACAAGCATTATTTATTATTATTATTATTTTTTTTTAATTGAAAGATCTTATCACGATTGGCATTTATATAACCGTGTGATATTATTTAGGTGAAACCCAAAGTAAACTTGCCGAGTCCGAGCGATCTAAAAATGAATTGCTCGACAGATTGTCCAAAATCAGTAATGAGTCTGAGTCAATTGTTAATCAACTGGAAGCTGCAGAGCTCAAAGCTTCAGCCGCAGAAAAAGCTGCTGGTACAATGGAAACACAACTACAGGAAACTCAGGTATATAATTTGATAAATAGATTTATGAGCAGATTATTAATTTGGTCGATCATTTACTAATTTTAGACACTTCTCGAAGAAGAAACTAAATTAAAATTGTCACTTAACTCGAAACTGAAACAAATTGAAAGCGAAAAAGAAACTTTGCAAGAACAATTAGAAGAAGAAGAAGAGTCCAAAAAAAATATGGAAAAACAAATCGTAGCCCTCAATTTGCTTATTACTGAAACTCGAAAGAAAATGGAGGAAGAAGCTGAGCAAAGCGCAGTCATAGAAGCTTCATACAAAAAAGTCATCAAGGTATGTGTAGTTAATACTATTTAAGTACTGTGTGTTACACTTGTCTTATTTAATTTGCCATATGTTTATAATTAATTATTATTACTCAGGATGTTGAAGTGCTGCAAAGACTAATTGAGGAACTGCAAGCCACCAATGATAAATTAGAAAAATCTAAAAAGAAATTACAATCTGAGTTGGATGACATAAACATTGATTTGGAAGCACAAAGGTCTAAAGTCATTGAGCTAGAGAAGAAACAAAGAATATTTGACAAGACTCTCGCTGAAGAAAAGGTATATACTTGATTTTGTTCATTTTTTAATGTTGTTATTAAATAATTATTATTACCTTAAAGGCCGTCTCGGAACAAATGGTCATTGAACGCGATACGGCTGAACGTGAAGCTCGAGAAAAAGAAACACGCGTTCTTTCCCTTACCAGAGAATTGGATGAACTAATGGTTAAAGTAGAAGAACTGGAAAGAGGCAAAAGAACTTTGCAAAACGAGTTGGATGAACTGATCAATAACCAAGGAACAGCCGACAAAAACGTATGTTATAATTAAATTAGCCAATTAAAAACACTTTATGGTAATATTATTGTAACTTTATGGTAACTAATTGAATGTTAACTGCAGGTGCACGAATTAGAAAAAGCCAAGAGAATATTAGAATCACAACTTGCTGAAATACGCATACAAAATGAAGATTTGGAAGACGAGCTGCAAATAACCGAAGATGCTAAACTCAGACTGGAAGTGAACATGCAAGCATTACGAGCCCAATTTGAACGAGACTTAGTTGTATGTATCTCATGTTGTTAACTATTTGTTAAGTATTTCACAATGGTTATAAAATACATTTTTATTAGGCTAAAGAGGAACAGAGCGAAGAAAAGCGCCGAGGTCTCCTGAAACAAATTCGTGACATTGAAGCTGAACTAGAAGACGAGAGAAAACAGAGAGCTTCCGCTGTTGCTGGTCGCAAGAAAATCGAAGCCGACTACAAAGATATGGAACAACAACTGGACATGCACAATAAACTTAAAGAAGATGCTTTGAAACAATTAAAGAAATTACAGGCTCAGTTGAAGGACGCTACTCGTGACGCCGAAGAAGCCAGAACATCTCGAGATGAACTTTCAGCAACTGCTAAAGAAACTGAACGTAAATTGAAGTCAGTGGAAGCTGAATTATTGTTGTTGACTGAAGAGCTGTCTGCATCGGAACGAGCCAGACGTGTTGCTGAAAGCGAACGTGACGATTTATTGGAAGATATGAACAGCAATTCAAACAAAGGGTATGTTCTGTGTTTTGTACTTAATATTTACCATTGAGTTGTTTAAAACCATAAATTTATTCATTACAGCACGCTGATGGTCGACGAGAAACGTCGTTTGGAAGCTAGAATTTCAGCTTTGGAAGAAGAACTCGAAGAAGAACAAACTAACTCAGAAGTTTTAAGTGAACGCAGCAGAAAAGCATTGATACAAATGGAACAGCTAAATTCAGGTATTTTTTACTGGCTTTATAATCCGTATTTATTTTTTAATATATTTTGTAAATACTGCAGATTTGGCAAATGAGCGATCATCGACCCAAAAATTAGAGACCACTAGAATGTTGTTAGAAAGGCAGAACAAAGAACTCAAAACCAAGTTAACAGAAATAGAAACTAATCAACGAGTCAAAACGAAGGCAGCTATCTCCAACTTGGAGTCTAAAATTGTTAACCTCGAAGAACAATTGGAATCTGAAGCCAAGTATGTCTGGTTGATAAATGAAAAATGATTTCTAGTGTACGATTTATAATATAATTTGTCATTAGGGAAAGACAATTGCAACAAAAGGCTAACCGTAAACTCGAGAAAAAGATGAAAGAAATTATCATGCAACTAGAAGACGAGAGAAGAACAGTTGATCAATATAAAGAACAAGTTGAAAAGGTATGTAGTGCAAATTAAAAAGTTTGTTATTTAAATGACACTTAACAAATTGTTGTTGTTACAGAGCAATGCTAGAGTTAAGACCCTCAAGAGACAGATTGAGGAAGCAGAAGAAGAGATTAGTCGCGAAAAGCATGCCAAGCGTAAGATCCAACGAGACTTAGATGAACTGCTGGAATCCAACGAGTCTATTTCTCGAGAAAATAACAATTTGAAGAGTAAACTCAGGTACTAAAAAAATTAACAATTTTCTAATCAGTATTACAGCTGATGAGTTTTCTAATTTTTTTTTTATCTTTAGGCGTACCGGTGTTACCACAACATCTAGAATAGGAACTGCCGGTAGTAAACGTGGTTCAACAATCGACGACTTATCAGTCGTACACAGCTCACTAGATGACTCGTTGGAATCAAATAATGGATCAAATGATACAAATTCACTTGGTAAATAATCCAAAACTAAAATTTCCAAAAATATTATTTTGGAAAACATTTTCATTGTGCTAATACGATTAATATCTTTTTGAAAAATGATCGTAATATTTAGGTACCGAAGAGATCCACTCTCGTTAAAAAATTTCATTCCAACAAAAAAAAAAAAAATTATAAAAATTGATTAAATGGTATGTAGGGATTTGCACTTAAATAGAAACCTAGATCCCATTTTAACACATTTTAATTATCCTAATATTATTCTCGGTCACATTTGGATGCATGGAAAAACGTAGAAACAATTACAAGGATGAATTATTGTTTGTGTAAAAAATGCTTACAATCAAAGACAGTTTTCATAGTTATGTAGTAGTAGGCATTTATTACGAATTATGATAAAACTATTAAATTGAATTATGAACCTTCAATGAATAAAAAAAATCCTTTATTTCTTAAATAAAACATTAAATAAAGTCAATCTAACAAAACTCATTCACTACCGACCATACTGATATTTCCCAGTTATAATTATAAAAAAATGTTAATTTATAATGAGTAAAAAGGGATAATTTATAATTTTTCTTGGTGTGTACTATTATGTATTTTTACTTAGACAAATTAAAAACATAACGCAATGTAGTTATTCTTTTTTTACTACCGGTATTAATGCATTGAAGTTAATATCTGTATTTTAACTAATTTTATCTGTACTTTAACCTTAAAGGTAACATAGATTATTAGATAACTGTTTATTGACATATTAACAGATTAATGAACCAGTAATTGTGTAGTATTTTGATAAACTAATTTAGATGGTTAAAAAGGATAATAATTTGTAACAGCACTGAATATTTTTTAAATAAAAATGTATTATTTATTTTATTTTTTCAGGTCCGTGATTTAAAATTAATCAGTTCGAGTTGTGATCAATAGCTCAATGATATGAACCAAACATTTTTTTTAATGATTTTTTTTTTAAATTATTATTTATATTTTTTTAAACGCTAACTTTTTGTGGCTGAGATACAATACTTGAAACATTGTACTTAATCAATAGAAAAAAATACTTTGAAAATTTTAACGATAACCGACCATATAGTTTTACATGTAATTAAACAATTTTGTTTAATTACTAAATAAAAAATAATTAACGGTATCAAAAAATAGTATGTAAATTATAAAAAAAAAAACAAGTATTTGTAAACACTGTTGTATAACAGTTATTTATTATTATTTATTATAATTATTATTATGCCTTCATGTATTTTTATTTTTGTGTTTGTACAAAATAATATTACTTATCTAACAATAATAATTATTTAGGTGTATTAATTAATAATCATTAACAATAAAAATAAAATATTTATGCCATTTACTGTTATTTAACATAATAATAGCTTATATAATATATATAGTTCAATATTAATGTTCAATACACATCAAAACATTCCTTTTTTTTTGTATTGTTACGTTTTTATATAATATAATATTAATATTATTATTAAAAAAAAAAAAAAAAACTAATGATCATTTTATGTTTATTTATATTATTTTACTATTATTATGATTTACTTCTAAAGTTGTTAATGAAAATCGAAATTTGATTGAAAATATATTATTTAGCGCATAATTTTTTTTTGTAAATTTATTATTTGCAAATTAAATATATACCACTGAATTTGCGTTTACCATCATTATTTTGATGGTATTAAACAGTGTTTTATAGTGATATGTCATTCATAACAAACATTTGTGTACTGTATAAATATTATCTATTTTTTTAAATTTAATATTGAAACGATAAATGATTTATCAAGTCTTGTTGTTCAGATTCTATTTTTTGCAGCGACCTGTGCTCTGTTTTATATCGCTCCAATTCCAACGTCTTCTGCTCAATCTCGGTCTTTAAAATAAAATATATATATTTTTATGAATAATACAAACAAATTGTTATCAAATAAATTACCTGTAACATTGCTTGTCTTTCTTCAGTTTTATTGGTTAACGATGCTAACTGGTTGGACGCTATGATGGCTTCTCGTTTTTCCTGTTCCACTTGTTTAGCCAAATTTTCCATGACTGCAATGAATCCATCGACGGAACCGCTATAGTTGTCCATGTCTTAAATACAATTGCGGTTTTTCAATATCGTCATACGATTTGTATGTATACGACTTTACCTCTCATAAAATCATCGCACTGTTCCTTAAGACCGGATACTTTGTCAGCTAATAATGGATCCATGACTCTGGCTTTGCCCATATCGTCAATACAAACGACATCTGAAACTGGAGCGCTATCCATGGTCGGTACTCGTATGAAGCAAAAAAGGAAATTACACATACAGTGGGAATTATAATAGTTAAATATTATTATACAGAATATAAGTGTACAATTAATTCTAAATGTTTAAAAACAATTACTGTTTATGCCGTTACTGAATCAGCAACCCAAGTGTCAATTCCACCTTTGTGACAGTAAACAGTTTTTTGTACTTGATGAAAAAATAGACTTAACAATGGAATTTTAAATGGTTTTAACGTGTCATTTGGTTGATATTTTTTAATAGGGTCTGTCGGGCAAACAGTGTACAGTCGGTACAGACCCGCGTAGAACATAGACAAGAGTGGTTCTATATTTCTTGCCCGCACAATATTAGTAGGTGTATCAATGTAAATTTGTTGACTCTTTATTTTGTACAAAACAATTACCTATGGTGTCGTAGCAACGATATCGCGGTTTTATTGCTCGTGTGTGACGTCATAGCGCAGAACAATAGAGCGAAATGTGTTTCTTCCATGGCTGCAACTGATGCAACAAAAAAAGAAAAACCCAACATGTACATTTCGGTTTTTATCATCGACGTCAATAATGTTATATTTTTGATATAAATTAATAATAATTGATACAACCCCAAAGTGTTTTGAAATTCTCAGCTGAAAATAGACCCGTTCATTGTCTTATTACGGCGTTCCGCGCATCAACAGCACACGATCGTCACAACAGTACTTGTTTCCTTTTAGTCGACCGAAGCTGTTGAAAAAAAAAAAAATGCCCAGAGGTACGTGCGACGAAATTTCGTTCCGTTGTTCTTGGTCTGACAATGGGCGGTTTTTCTTTTCCAGGCAAATGGACCAACCACAAAGGAAGGAGCCGCAGGTTCACGAATCCCGACGAACTCGAGGAACAAAGGAAACGCGAGGAACAAGAACGGAAATGGAGAAGCAGTAGGGGCGAGGATTCTTCTAGCGAGGAAGAAGAACAAAAGCCAGCGACCAAAGGCGACAAGAGCAACAGCGAAGACGACACCGAGGAGAGCGACAGCGAATCGGACGAAGACTCCGATGATGTAAACGTCGCTTTCGGATTCGTCAAAAAAAAAATCACATTTATTATTCCATAAAATATAATGTACTATTGTTGTTTTATTTAGAAGAAAAAAGGCGTTGCCGGGCTCATAGAGATTGAGAATCCAAACAGAAAGCAAATGAAAGCCAAAAAGTTGGCCACGCTCAACGAATCTTTAGAAAACGCTGAACCCGCACAGCTGTCTAGGCGCGAGAGGTTTGTCGATTGTGTTATCGTTATCTTGTTGTTTGCACATTTGTCCTAATGACTTTCGCAATTGTATGCATTTAATTGCGAATTTAACGTTTGGAAATGGTTTGATGTCTATGTTTCTAGAGAAGAATTAGAAAAACAGCGTAAAAAGTTACACTATCAGAAATTACAAGCCGAAGGTAAAACCGATGAAGCGAGAGCAGATTTAGCTAGGTTAGCAATCATTAAGCAACAACGTGCTGAGGCTGCTAAGAAACGCGAAGAAGAAAAGAAAGGTCGGTTTGACAATTTTATTATGTGGATGGTTGAATAACTATATTTTTCTATAGTCTTAGTCTGTGTTAATTTTGAATGATGAACAATTCTAGTTTAATTGCACGTGAACTGAACTAGATCCATTTTATTCGTTATCGTTGGCATTTCATTGGAAAATGTTATAACTTTTGTATTATGTTAAACATTGTTTTGACAACTTTTTATGTTTTAATTTACCTTTGTTATTTATTTTTATTTTTACAGAAAAAGAAATGGCTAAAATACAGAAGTCAGCGGAAACGCAAAAAGCTCTTGGAAAACGGTGAAGTTTTGTTATTATCATATGGACTGATATGTAATATATAACAAATTACTCTTATGTTCAATTATTATGTTAGACATCAGTTTTGCAAATTGCAACCTATAAAATAATGTTTCACCCATCAAATTATTGAACCGATATTTCAATTACACAAGACTCAAATATTAAGTTTTTTTTTGTTACTTTCAAAATTACTGATTTTAATTATTATAACTCTTAACGACAGTATATATGTATATAATGTTATCAAACAAATATATATATATATTTCATTCATTATATGCTAATTCACATAATAAATTATTAACTATTTAAATTGTTATATTATTAAAAGTTCTATTCAATCAATTCCTTAAGGAATGAACACGAACAACCTTTTTAAACAATGTTACAACAATTGTGTAATAATATAAACGCTCATATGATGTTTTGTTTAATAATTAAACAAATCTGTTAATTATAATACTTCTTGAGTGCTATTAAAAAATAAATCAAATTTATAAGTCTTACAAGTTAATTTTATTATTCAAGACAACAACAAACATAACAGTCTTGACACGACGTACACATTAATACTATTTCCGAGCAGCTGGTAAGCTTTTTTGTCACTGACAGGAAAATTGGTAATCGGAATACACATAAACTTTGCAATTTCCGCTGGTGTAAAAAATCTCAGTTTAAGATTTTTCAGAGATTCTAAATCACAGTTTTCACAATTGGTAATCTGTTTGACTTGCTGGTCGTCCAGGCTTGAAAACACAGAGCCGGTTCCGCGTAAATATGTACCATAAGACCGTGTAAAACAGCATGAACCGGTGCTATTTCTTGTAACTACATCTAATACTTTATAATATTTTAATAGTAAATCATCTCTTATTAGGTATTTCTCTAAATCTTCACCACGTTCGCACAGTACATCTGAAACTTTTGTGATGGATTTGCATAATTTTGTATCCCACGTGTTATCACACACCTATTTAAATCAAAAAACAAATAATAATAATAATATACAAATCCTTTTTAAAAATAGTTACAATTTCGTTTTGAATAGCGATATTAAAGCTCAAAGGCTTTGCTTTGGCCAACAAATAGTATCTCAGTCTAGAATTACATATTCCAAAATGTTTAGGACTCAACAAGAATTCTCTAAACGTAAAACCAGATTGATTCAATGTGGTCGTAAGTTTATTTCTAGCAACAGAACATTCAAAACCTTTGACGTTTTCTACTAATATATATCGAAGAGATTGCAAGTACGGAATTAGGTTTTCAATAATATGTAAAAGCGGCTTGGCTCTTTCATCGTCTACGTCTTTTACTAGACCATTTCTACGGGAATAACAAATCAGTCATCTGGTTAAAACAACAACGTGTAAACATTGGAATATTACAAATTATTATTAATATATTTGCCTAGTAAATGGTTGACACGGAGGACTCATTAACAATATATCAGGATTGTAAGCGTTTATCTGTTCGGGCTTCAGCGAGAGAATGTTTAGTTCTTTATGGTTGGTCGATGGGAAAAAATGCTCGTAAACTTTATTAGCTACTGGATTTATATCAACAGACAATACCACGTCGATATTCGTATCCAAACCACACTCTGTAAATATCATCATAATGTTATGAAATTACTAAAATCTATGCATCGGTCTTCTTCCTATTCGTACCTTTAGCGGCGAAATGCATACCACCGATGCCGCTGAAGAGTTCAATAGCTCTCATATTGTTACCTTGTGGAGCCAATCATATGGTAAAATATAATTATTTAAGAAATGCAAATATTGTAAAGGATAGATTAATATTTAAAATTGTAATTATTAAATCTATTCACCAGAAATCAGAATCTTTAATTTATGTAGTCGACAGTTGTTATCAATATACTGTTATCATAAAATCGCTATCACCGAGAACAACAAAAAAAACTGTTTTGATAAAAACATTGAAGTGAATCAAACCAATGTAGCCAACATAACAAATTCTCGGGGAAAAAATGTCTATTTCCTGAGATGCTAACACAGACGTCATAGTCTATGATTTTAATAGGTGGATACATTTAACATTGAAAAGTATGTTTTTAGCTGTTTAACAGTCATGGATTTTAAATTATTAGTAGGTATTTCAAAATCGATGACTGTACTTATTTACACAACGTTAGCACATTATAATATACTTGATATTATGTTTGTTTAGGACCTATATACGGTCATGAATTATGTACGATACGTGCCTTTGATTTCAAAGCTTTCCATTTGAATTTATGTATTCAGTTTTAACTTTCAAGATTAGAATGCTGAACAACATTTTGAATGTGTATATATATATATATATATATATATATACGTTTTATTTTTTTGAGTACACAAAAAAGGTGATTGAAATGATCCACAACATTCAGCTTATTCAAGAAATCTGTAGTTTCTAAACTGTTTTTTTTTTAAATGTTTTCTATTCAAATTAATAAAACCATACTCGTTTTTTCAAGTTATAGAGTTACAGAATTTAACAAAATTCTATTACAAAAAATAGTTTTGTATAATATCATTTTAATAGCTATTCAAAGTTAAAATTCATGTCGACCAAAATGTTCTTTTAAATATAGTTCTTCTCAATTTGATTGTAGATTTTTCTATCTTAAAACGTTTAGGTACAATACATAAATTTATATAAATTATGTTCTTAAAAACTGTTTAAGTTTTGTTTTTTTTCACAAAAAACTCAGGCAGTCGATGAAAATAAAATGGTACAAAACGAGTCATCATTTAAATCAATTTATATTTCAATACATAAAAGTGTCTAATTACAACACAAAGAACTTTCTCAAACAATAGGTATAACTCTAATAATAATAATAATAATAATAATATGTATAAAATATACACTAAGTACTATAATGTGTACTGTTTACATTTACAAACAAGTCATATTATCTAATACACAATTTGTACGTATATATAGAAAATTTGCTGTATTTAAAAACTCATCTAATGTACACAATACTATACAACACATATTTATACATATACATTTATATATTAAAATATGATACTTTTACTAAGTCTATATATATATATAATCATAATAATAATAAGCTGCTAACGCAATTGTCGTTTTTTTTTATAAAATATAAACAATAATAAAAATAATAATACAGGAAACGGATGAGGTGATACGGTCACCGGCCATTTGCTAAAATTGTGTCGTTACCCTGGTACGAGCAAATTAAACAAACGACTAGACACACACGGACGTGTTGATGGGTAGTACAATATAATATTTATAAAATATCATTAGTTTATCACAGTGGTTTTTCCTATCTTCATATTATAATATAGTAATACACTGTAAAAAGGAATCAGATGACGCTGGACGGAAGGATATCCAGTGGTCTCGTTAGCGTGCTAGTACCACTTTCGGGACAACCGTTTTGCACTAGGAGCTCGGTCAACGGTCCGGCGTCTTGGATGGACGTCGAGCCGGCGCGACAAGCCGCCCGAACGTGTTGCAGACATGTACGTCCTTCATGGTCGACCGCTTTGGCGTTTGCTTTGTACTGCGGAGGTAAACAAATAGGAAAATGATTAGTTTTTAGCCTTTAGTTTTTTACATTGTGTTTAAACATTTTTTACAACACTCACCCATAGGAGTAGCTGTGCTATGGCAAGATTAATCATAGAGCACGCTAGGTGAAGTGGTGTTCGCAAATCTCTATGGCTGACGACACAGTTCACTTGATCGGCAGAGGCGTGAGCTAATACCAATATAAGGGCTCGCATGTCACACCTGTAATAAACGACTGGATTAGTCCAAACTTTGGACTGTCGAAGGGGTGAAATATTATAGTTGACGGTTTTTGGCAAATGAGTAGTAAAAAAAAAATACAAATTGACCCTTTCGTATCCGAATTACAGTTTTATAATTTGGTGTTTACCTGCAAACCGCATCGATCAGTTGTTGAGACAAACTAGGCGAATGGTTTAACGCCGGTAGGAACTCTTTGGTCTCGTACTTGCTACGTATCCACAGTTCTTTTTCTTCCCGGCTCGAACTCGGGTTCGGTTTGGTCCGGGTGGGTCTGACGTTGGCCTCCCATACCGAATTGGCCAAATCGTTGCCCACGGCCATCATTACCTTGAGGTTGGACGGTCTGAAAGAAAGAAAATAATACACGGTCAGCGGATCGATCTCAGACCGGCAGGCCTCGGACGGAGGTTCTGTACAACACTTACGGCCATCCGTCCAAGTCGAGTGACCGCACTTTGGATATGTGCGAGCCAAGGTTGCGGTGTACGCCCGAGCATTCGATGCACATGAGCACACCCAGATTCAAACTGGCCCAGTCGGGATTTGGAGAGCTGCAGTCTGCGCACTGGCCGTTGCCCGGCACCCTAGTCCGGATGCTCTGGACGTCTTCGGCGCGGTTGGACGAACCGAACTTGCCGCCGGCGTTGACTTTATTGATTTCGTTGCTCTGGGAAAACATTGTCAAACACACGGTTAATGGCCGAGCACAAACGGTAGTAAACAAATTGAATCGGTCATTTCAAAAACGACACAAGTCACAAAAAACTTCATAACTAGTTTTTGCAATGATTCTGATTTCTTGTACTCAACATTTGTTGTATTAAATACGAGTCTGACAAATTTAGTCAAATTTGACAAAAAGTCATTTTTGAAAAATCGGTGACTTATGTCGTTTTTGAAATGACCGATTCAATTTAATTAGTTGATATTAATTGCAGCATTACTTGTAGAGAGTTCAAAATTTGTTGTTCGATCGCGGCGACCCATTCGTCGCGGTCTTCGGAACTGTTGGCTTCGAACTGCCACTGTTTGTTGTCCAACGAAACGATAAGGAACTCAAAGCCGTCGGTGTCTAAGAAAATCAAACAGTTAGGTATACATAAAAAAAAAATGTTCCAACGACTCGTGGAAAACCGAGATATTCACCATCGCATTCTTGGTTCTTCATGTTGCTGCTCTTCATCCGCCTGTGTCTCTTTTTCACGTTGGGCGTTTCGGCTTTAAGTTCACCGTTGTGCACCGACAACGACGTGTTGGAGACGCCCACGTTAGACTCGTCCCCGTTGCTGTTCAAACGCAATGTTATTAATTAGTCGATCATTAACAACCTACTGCTGACTGTTGTGAGAGACACTCACCTGGATCCGTTTTTGTAGCCGGGTTCCTTTAGCAGTTCGAACGCGGTCAGCAACACTTTGTCGGCCGTCCGTTTGTCTTTCATCTGGAAATTCGATATGGAAATATTGGACAAGTGTTCGGATATGCCGTTGCTGCTGCTGTGGTGGTTGTTGGCGGCCGAGGCGATGGTCTTGGAACCCCGGGGCTTTTGGCCCGGCACCTTGACCGTCACGTACTGCAGCGATATCTCTTTGCCGTGCACGTCTTCCATGTAGTCCTGATGAGAAGTGACAAAAAAAAAAAAAAAAAAAAAAAAAAAAGGCAAAATCGGTTTTGCGCTCAACAGCACAGCATTAGTCAAACGGCCGCGGGGACTTACGTGCAAGCTCGGGTGATACGTGAGACGACCGTCGTCGCAGAGGGTCACGTACTTCTTCTTCCATTCTTTGTTCAGGCCTTTGCTGCTCCGCTTGTACAAATAACCCTGTTTCAGGGGTATGGCCCGTCCGCTGCCCAGCTCGCTGGTGGTCAGCACGCGGTTTTTGTCTTCTTTTTTGGACGGATTGAACAGGTTCGACCGCCTTCTGGTTTTACTGTACCGACAACAAACGTCGATCAGTCAGGTGCGCAAACGTCTGCCAAACGTTTATGGCATGGTAATATATTACGACAATGTACATACCGGGTGGTGGTCGGAGTGGAACTGGGCGTGGGCAGGTCTTTGGCAGCGGCAAGAACGTCGAACGACTTGGACACGTTGTTGTTGTCCAGCGCAATGGAAAGTTCCAGCGGTTGTCGGTTGAGCGCGGACGACAGGTTAGAACGGAGCACGGAGTCTTTGAACGCGCTGTGGTGGGCGGGCGAGGCACCGTGCACTGGCGGGGAAGGCGAAGAAGCCTGGGAGAAGGTCCTGGATCCGGGGGAAGCCAGGTGGTTGTAGGACGAAGGGCCGCAGCCGCTTACGGGGGTCGTCGAAGATCCCGGAGTCGAACACCTCGAGTCCGACAGACAGTTGGTGGAGGCCGACAACCGTTGTTGGATGATTTTCTGGCAAGCTAAAATAAAAAAAAAGACGGTAAAAAAATAGTCAGTAAACCGTTTCAAAGCGGCAACCTAACCGTTCGAGAACCGTTGCTTGAAAAAACATTTGTTATATTAAAAAAAAAAAAAAAAAAATGATATTGATTTCTACAATATATTGTTTGATTGAACGCTTACCGTCTTGAAAAACGCGGTCAACGTTAAGGCCGTAGGTGGCGCACGTCTCGTAGTACGAACACCTCTTGAGGTCTGCCGCCAGCTTTCTGGCCCTGGTGTCATCAATCACTCTTGGATTCGTTTCACTTATGGCGTCTAAAAATAATAGAAAAAAAAAAAAAACGTCAATACTAGCGGCAACAGCTATAGTCCCAGACCTGCTATATTGAATATAATATGTTCAATAACTAGAACAGAGAGAGAGAGAGAGAAAAAGAACAACATAAAATAGATGAAATAACACGTGTTAAAACAATTCGACAACCATTGCGCGTTTAGGTTTTTAATAATATTGGCGGTATATATTTTTTAAAAATTCTCTGTAAAAACAATAATAACGAGTTACTTGTTTGCACAAAAAAAAATGTTGTGTGTACATTGCCATTTGCCACGTTTAATAAAAACGTACAAGTATTTTCGACAAATAAAGCAAACAAATATTATATTACGGGACTATTAATCGATTTAAGGTCATAGCTACCGACGATTATTATTCGAGTTTAAAAATCAACGCAAACCAGTAATAATTATACTTTTAAATTTAAATCAATGTCTTTTTTTTTACATATATGTACTTGTTAATTATAATTTATGGTACACGTACTATAGTTTACAATAAATAATTAGTGTAATAAGGCATAGTTAAAAATTGTTTGATATGTGAAGTATACTAATAGTATGAAATTATAAATTATACATATTTTTTTTAATTTTCTGTTACACGAAATATTAATTTTAAAAAAAATATTACTGTTATGTTTTTGGAGTGATATTTATTATGTAATCACATTTCACATTCATCAATTTACTTGAGCTAAAGTAATTCCTTAATGAAAGTAATTTCATACCAGTAATGTTTTCTTTGCAAACGCCGATTTCGGTTATTTATTTTTTTTTTTTTGCTAAAATGTAGCTCAACTAAACCTACTCGTTTTCAAAGTTTTTAAATTTAAAACCAAAAAAAAAAAAACAAAATTCAGTAGTATATTATACATTTTGTATTTTATATTCAATAATACAAAAATACCATACAACTATTCCCACCCCGGTTGTGACCAAAAGTTCCCGGTCTCGACTCTCGGCGTTACTACCCGCGTTATTCGCGAGACTCGTGAATTAGGTAGTAGTATAGGTATATATACATAAGTATTTTTGTTTTCTTGTGTACTTACCCTGAGTGCCGACTAGGATCAGAGGTATTTCGGCCGAGTTACGGTAATGTGCCATTTTAGTGTAGTAACCGTAGACCGCGTTGAAACTGGCCTCGCTCTCCAGGCTGAAGACGAATATGACGGCGTCCACCCAAGCCGTAAACTGAAAAAAAGAAAAAAAAAACAAACGTTCGGTTTAATATACTTAACCGGCGGTCAGGCTGACCGTCTTTTTATCTGACGGTTAGACAAAATAGATAACGGTTTTTGTTATTTTTTTTTTTTTTTGAAACCACAAGACCAGCGCCGCGCTGTGGATAACTCTAGCGTTAACACACACACACACTATTACTTTGCGCCGAATCGACGACCCCCGACGATCGATACGGTCGGGGGGACCAAGGGAACGGATGTTGAATTTTGGAGATGTCAGTTTTCAAGGTCGATTCCCCCCCCCCACCCCCTATAATTATCCATCTTCCTCCCAAAGCAGCAATGTACACCGGAGACCGCCTCCGAAATTTACCCGCCAAAAGTCGGGTTTACACTATGTCTTCGATCCGTATAGTATAATGCACATTGCACACGTGGGAATACTCGTTATGTACTAGGTGTAGTAACACTTATACTATATATTAGACGATAATACAATGACACATCTCGACCGCGGATTAAATCCGAAAAAGAAAAAAAACCGATAGATGACCCCTTGGCAATAAACATACTAGGTTATTGCGCATCCTCGCTTTATTCATAAAATGGCAGCGCAAGGGGGTACATCAGTGTTTTTTCGATGGATATATAACATACACAATACCTTTGTAAAATAAACGGAATCTGATCGGCTGACTCTTACACGGTCATTGTATTTTTATCATTGAACATTGAGAACGATGGAGAGGGAGTAGAGTGCAACAACCTAGAATATTTAAGTCATGGATAACCCCGAGTAAAGTATCGCACGGCCATAAACGTCAGTCACCAGTCAATACAAAATTTGAACAACTGCACGAGAAACTCGAGCATATATTGATATGTGCACAGCTTTCATATTTTTTTTTTAGAGAATCCACCAACTCGCTTGAATGGCGCGCAGAAATTTCTCTTGCAAATAAATGTACTTATCATTGTAAAACCCAATACTAAGTACACGGTAAAAATATAATATTCGTTTTAATTAAAATAAAATAATTGTAATTGAAATAAAATTGGAGTTTCTAGAGTATGCACACGTACATCGTCGACCAGAGTTAAAAACAACCAGAAAAATAATATTGTACAGTATATTTTATTCATCAAATAAATGCTTATATTAATTGTTAAGCAAACCGGAAAAGGGGAGAATTCATATTAGACGGTTTAATTTAAACTCATTGTATTCGGCACACTTTTGGGCTTGGGTAGTTTTCCATAATAACGGTGATATGATATTCCCAATGGAATAACCGTAACGACTAAAATGTTGTATTTCGTTTGGCTTAAGCTTTTGCCATTTCACAAATAACTACTACCCACCGTTTTTGTCTAATTCTTACAATCGTTATACCCATAATGCCTTTTAGAATTATAGGGGTTAGGTTGTAAGGCACCGACTTAATACACTATTATCTTCCATGTCGTGGGCGTATTTACAACAATCCAGAGTTTAAATTATTATGATTACAGCTTGCCGCAGCTGTTGTCGACAACACACTTGCTAGCACAGTGATGTTAGAACAATGCCATAAAGATCAACAAAAATCTCTGATCTCGGAATCAGATTTTTTTCAAAGATATTGCGACGACAAGCAATATGTTATATTGTAACATATTATCTGATGTTGATATGTTGCTGTGTTTATTGCCATTATTGTTATTACTATTGTGATATATAATACAAACTATACGAGGGGGGCTGGTGCGAAATTAATTGAAAGGGCCTCGCTTTTGCATATTTCATATTATGCAAACGATTTTAAATCGACACTGACACGGCAACGCGCATTTACCACACAGCTGTCTCTCCCTCCCCACCCGCCTTTCCCAAACAAAGTCATCACAAGGTCAATGGTGTTCGAAATGCGTTTTAAACGGTCCATGGCGATGAATGCACGAAGCACACGACTCTTTTTGCTTGGGAAGTATTACAAGTCTAAACAAAACCTGTTAGGTACTTTTTGTAAAACCGTAACCCGTTCAGAAAAAAAACACTGCTAACAAATTGGGCAAACTTAGGCCCGCACTTTTAGATTGGACTCAAGATTAGAGTTGCAATTTTTTTTATACAACTTTTAATTAGTTTTAATCGAAAGTTTTTAGTCATGTCAAAGTGATAAAAGATTCTTTTAAAAGTTGTTTGAACTTTTTAACAGGTAGGTGTAAATAGTATATTTTATAATAACAATATGAAATTGTATTAATTATAATTTGGAAAATCCAAAGTTCAATCACCCAAACGTTATAATTAACACGTGTTGTGGTATATTTTGTATACTCCGATTTGGATTTACCTGACTCTGATTGACACTGTCTCTGGTTACCCAAGTGAGTCCCAATTAATCCAATTAGAAAATTAATTTGAAAGTCGTAATGGCTTTAATTAGTATTTTTATTTGGCAAATCAAATAAGAATTATCAGATTTTTTACACTACACAAACTTTTAACCGCCCGTTCTGGTAAAACCGTTGTAATTAAGTTTGCTGTGTGCGGTGGCGGTTTGTTTGACGTTGTCGCTATAACAGTCGCAGTTATCTTAAGTTTAGTACTTTTTTTTAACTTTGGCCAAGAGCTCGGGAGCAGCTGAAATATCATATTACAAAATCAGCGAGGAAAAAGTAAAAGGAAGAAGAAAAAAAAAAAAGAAGATTAATGGGAAAACGGTTACAGGATAGTGACGGCGGCGGCGACAAAACACATTTAGCGGGGAAAAAGTCATGTTTCTTTCTTATTTAACACAAAAAAAAAAAAATACACTTGTATATTTTAGACGAGATATTATTCCATCATAAACAGAAGCGCTGGATTTTGGTCGTTTAGTTAAGTCCTTGTCTATAGAAACCACACCAACACGTTTGTTGGCGTTTTCATCGTTCTCCGAGATATCTTAACAACAGTTTATGCGCCTTTTAAAATCGATGATTATCTATTGTGGAGAGTAGTGAATGCGTCTCGATAAACTGGTGGAGATTGTATAGTAATACACATGAGGGTTGCCGCCAGAACATATAAGCAACTATATCCTGTCCACATAAAGAGTATTATTATTTGACCATATATTATCATAATATATAGGGGCTATTAAAAAACAAATAACGGACGTCCATAAACGTCGAAAAGACTTAGTGGCGACCTAATATATTTTGTATTCAACACAAGCACATTCCTAACAAGCAATTGATATTCGATATAGATATTTGGTTAAGCAAAGTGATATATTCGATATAGATTTGGTTAAGCAAAGTGATATATTCGGGATTTAAATATTCTAAAGGAACATATTTGGACATAGTCGGGCAGGTTTTTGAATCTTTTAAGACCCTTAATTTTTTATAAATTCAATTTAAAATTTATATATTATAGTCAACAGACGGGTATATTTCATTCGGCGCTATTTGACCGGAGCCAACTCATTCTGACTTTTAAGGCCTATTAATTAATCGTTTGCCTCGGCACATAAATCCTGGGTCGGCCGGAACTTATATCGTTGTTTAATAAACGGCAGCTAAGTAAACTTAATAGCGACGAGGTCGTTGCGATGGTTTAACAGTGCGCCGGAACCAACAAGGAAACGACAAACGGCCAGGTATATAAAGTTCAGTGAGTTTATGTTGTATAATATATTGCAGCTCGCCAACCAACACCGATGCCACCGTGTACAAGACGCAAAAAAAAGTTCACCTCGGCATAAACTTACACCGCATGTATCAAAACTCTGCAAGTCTGTGCTTTTATCTCTTCCGGTAGATACCGCGAGGCACAGAGGCACATAGGACCTATATGCGGAAACTATACACTATATAGGTTAATATTGACAACGCTGTGCGGTAATCTTGGGCGTTCACGTCACGTCACGAGGCGATGGCGGGTGTTGCCACAGCTGATGCAAAGAACAAAAATACAGCGCCACAGCGGCTGACAAAAGAGCCGCGCGGTCCAACGGGCGCACACAAAAGGCTAATCCTAAATGGTCGCCACTGGCATACACACACCTAAGAGACGAATACCCCGGAAACGGCTACGGAGTCCCCCCTGCCCCCCCCCCAAAAAAAACCGGACTTAACACACGTATGGTCGGCGCGCGTTGTATTGTATTTAACCGTTTTGCGCGTTACCCGAAAATTTCAAGTGGATGAACTGGAGTGCACTAATCCGTCTAATCCCGAATAATAAGTAACACAACAACACAACGGTCAGCCGATGCGGTTTACGGCCGAGGCCTGGAACAAATTCGAAGCGCTTTACCGAAACGCGGTACAACCGTCGTGCTTTTATTTTATGTTATTTATTTTTTTCCACAACAAAATAGCCGGTACGTATAAAACCGTTAGAGCTTGTCGAATGGCCGGAGCAATAAATATAATATATCTTTCCCTTTGCGTTGCCGGCGAATTATTATTTTATTATCTCGGCCGTAATTTATTACCAATATAATATACCGACGAAAAGGTAATACACTAGATAGGTGTGAAAGGAATGCGCATTACAATACATATTTTATTTTGGTCACTTGTACTGGCGTGCTAGAGGGTCGCCAGCCGTCCAAAAGGGATGGGCCGTGGTACAATCATATAATATTATGTTCACACAAATTTTGAGGAAGGCTTTTTCTATGACGTTTGTACCGATGCTGCTTCCTAGTGAACTATACGTCGTGTATTAAGCTGGAAGGTATGTGTTTTACGAGCAAAGTTAAAAGGGAGAAGAGAGTAAAAAAAAAAAAAAAACCAGCGTTACTGACGGATGCGGCGGCGGCGGCATCTAATAAGATTTACACGCGACACGGTTACCCCGGGGGCGACGCTATGACGACCGTCTGCGGGTAATAACTTGTAGTTTAGGTCTTGAGGTCAGAGAGGGTGGCAAGAGCGACAAACCGTATAAGGCGCACCGGCTTAATCGAATCGCAGCGAAACAAACTTTTAGCTCGTGTCCCGAAATTGAACAAGTACACACCACGAGCTAGG